GCATGTTCGGTGGATTTAGCATCCTGTGTACCGCTGGCAAGGCCGTGGGCTCGTAACACTCATCTTGCCCGTGGTGCCCACCATTTCTGTATGGTCGTCGGTCACACTAGAATAACCCGTTATAGTACATATTTCTTTCCTCACACAGCCAAACTGTGGAATGCTCTGCCTTCTGTGTTTCCATACTCTTTCAATATGCCTCACTTCAAAAAGCTGGTTTTCCGGCATCTTCGTGGTGTAGATTACCATAGTCTTTTTCTCCTCTATAAAAAAGATGTACAGTATACAAGTGCGTAGGTTATTGCTGTTCATTGTACTGTACATCTTAAGAAAACAAAGTCCATTTTACAAGATTTCATTACCTAATACTTCAAATATAAGAGATTTTCCTACCCATATCTCCATTTTATACTAATTCGATACTTTTAAGTAATTTGTAAAGACAATCAATAATTATGTAGGCGGTAAGTGGGTAAAGTGGTGTTTAAAAAAATTGACTTACCTTCGAGGCTTCAACACTGGAGAAGAATAGTTAATTTTACTTCCACACTTCTTTGTCGTGTGTTGTAGTGCGGTGTCCTTCAGAGAGCTCAATCTATTGCTCGACTCAGTTTTTTTAAACTTTGCTGGTTGTAAACACGATGACCCCCATCAACTGAAGAGTGTGAAAAACTCCTGGCGCTACGATAGACGAATTCCTGACCCCCGACTCGTATATTTCATACTCGCGTAATCGCGTTTAATAAAAGGATGGCATTTCAGAGAAGTTTGTGTAAGCAATTATGGAAATTCTGAAGACCAAGTGCATTTTTATAACGCCTATTTATTATATATATATATATTGTAAATTTTATTCTAAGCTAGGGGAATGTCGATGAGTTTTATTAATCCACTTAACTCGAACGATCATTTCACATAATACGAAAGGGAAATTAAATTGTTATATAAGTTTTTATGGTGCCAATGTCATTAATAACGACCTTTTTTGCCTATTCTAATACTCAAAATAAATATAAATGTACATTTAGCATTTTTCATAATAATGCATTGCCCAGTTTTATTAAATTTTGGGTTGAATTGGGGTTTGTGAATAAGCAATAATTTTGATGAATAGTAAAGATAATTTATGGACCGATTTCTGTGCTGAATGTTAAATTATAATGTTCTGATTTAATCTTTGCGCTATTGTACATACACACAAAAAAAATTATTTGTTCCAACTCGGTAATAGAGAAGAGAACACCAAGGCCTTTCATTATTTTTCATGGGATTAACCCACCAGGGCACAGGTCAATGACACATCGGGGCCTGGGGAATATAATGATAATATAAATAAAAATACAATTAAATAAAAATATATTAATAATAATAAAGGACCATAAAAAAAGATCAATAGTGAGAAATTATATATATACGTTGTGTTGTCAAAGTAAGAGAAACAATTGAAACCCTGAAATTATGTGTAAATGAGGCAGAAAGTCAGATCAGCAACCTGGGACTTGGTCACAATTTTTGTGATGCCATATGGCAGCAGGGTCTACCTACCACAATCATCCAGTAGATAATACAGTACATGGTAATTATCTTTTAAGACTAGATATTCCTTGGCCCACAACTTACAGCAGTACAGTGACCAGCCTCCTGATCAGCAGCGTGTTAATAACAATAATAATAATAGCCTAATAATATCTGTTCAGTAAAATTGTCATACAGAATATAAATAAATGTACATTTGGATAGACAAGTATATAAATTAAGCAGTGAAGCTAGGATTCCATTCATGCGGTAGCAGTCGTGTTAGCGCCAAAAATAGATCATAATGAAATGTACACGGTTGTTTCCATTGGCAAGGTTGCGTTAGCGGTACCGTTAGCGTTATGCGTTTGCAGTACATTTGAGTCAGTCCCTGTAGCGATTGAAAACGCAACCGCATGGAAACAGGAGGGAATCCCACTGTGACGTCACTAGTTTTAGATATCATCTAACTAGATCCATACATTTTTGACACATTTGTCTTAAAATGAAGGTTCATAGTCTCAATGAAAGGATTCCTTGCAATAAAAAAAAATTCACGTATTATTTATCTATGGTCCCTATTATTTCCTATGTTATAATTAAGCATGAATTACTTTATAAGTTATACATATTGCAAGTCGTTGCCTTTGGCAAATGACTCCTCTGTTCCTGCAGTGTTTCACCAAATCCTCCTCAACCAGGGAGAGAACATGTGCGAATTGTTGTCTGCTTAGACGAAAATATTCTTTTAATTTTTCTTCTTCCAAGTTTAGCTCTTTCACCAAAGTGTTGTAGACTCCAAGTTTGGACTGATTCAGCAGCAGTTTATGCACCCACCATCTATGTTTCCTTGACTGTTTTCCCTTTGCATCACTCATGATCTTATACAAAACCAGGATAATAAATAGCAAATCTCCACATAACATAACTTCGATGCACTGGGAGCCATCTTTCCTGTCCTGTTCAAATGTGTTAAAGACTATATGCAATTGCAAATGGAATCAGGGGTGTCCGTTTTCCAAGGCAATTTAACGCCATCGCTCAATGCAAGCGCATACCGCAAACGCATATATGGAGTCCTATCTTAATGCAGTTCAGCATGAATATAAACAATAAGTATACATTGCATAGTACATATAGGCCGTGGGAGAATAATTTTCAATGTCTAGACAAGTGCAAGTAAGGCAATTTGTCCAAGGATAGCTAACAAAGTTGTCGTGCGCTCCAGCACCACAGGTACCCAGAGAGATTAGCACTGTTGACAAGTACCTGTACTGGGCATGCACCAGCTCCAGAAGATATCTGTAACTGCGCCAGTGTTGGTCAAGATGAGCTCACGATCGTTGCTCTCGCAACATTCTCTGACAGATTATTCCAAGAATTCACAACACTTCTTTTTCATAGTTTCACCACTTATTAACGTATTAGCCATAAAGCTTGGAGAAAACCTGTGATGTTTGGTAGTCACACTGGATAACACCCTTCTCAAGTGTGCCCAGTGAGTTTGAACTAACATTTTCTGAATTTGTGGCTTCTTTAACCTGAGGCTGTGACCATTAGTAGGGAGGGCATCCGCTATTTCCAGTTATGAACAGTTAGTCGCCTGAGTAAAGTCCTTTGAAGTTCTAGTGCTTATCCGAGAATATTACTCACTGAGGTGCTTATCGAAGAATTTTAATCTGAAGTGCTTATCGGAGGATATTATTCTGAGGTGCTTCTCGGAGAATATTACTCTGAAGTACTCATCGGAGAATATAACTCGCTCTGAGGCGCTTATTGAAGGATATTACTCTTGAGGTGCTTATCAGAGGATATTACTCACTCTGAGGCGCTTATTGAAGGATATTACTCTTGAGGTGCTTATCAGAGGATATTACTCTGAGGCGCTTATTGAAGGATATTACTCTTGAGGTGCTTATCAGAGGATATTACTCTGAGGCGCTTATTGAAGGATATTACTCTTGAGGTGCTTATCAGAGGATATTACTCACTTTGAGATACTTATCGAAAAATATTACTCGCTCTGAGATGCTTGTCGAAGGATATTACTCACTCCGAGATGCTTATTGAAGGATATTACTCATTATGAGTGCTTATCAAAGAACATTGCTCAGTCAAATGTTCATACCTGGAGCTACTTTTCACTGTCCTTTCGCCATTGATCGGCTCGTTCAAGGACTAATCTTATCCCTGGGCTCGTTATCTGGTTGGGCGCCTAGTCGGTCACGTTTCTGTTACACACGGTTGATAAGTACTCGGCATGTACTGGTTCCAGGATCTATCTGTACCTGCGTCTGTGTTAATCAGGTCTGGTCTTGACAGGTTTCTGAACATGAACATGTGGTTTCTTCAACCATAAGCTGCTACCTTCTGTGGGGCAGGCATCCACTAGCTCCAGGTATGAAGAGCATTCGACAGAATAATGTCCTCTGAGGTGTTCATAAACTTCTATTAAGTTACCCCTTGCCAGTCTATAGTATAACCTAAGCCTTTTTAGGTGTTCTGATCTCTCTGGGTACCTGAGGTGCCGTAGTGCAGGCACCAATCTGGAGGCCCTCCCTCATTTACCTTTACTATATCTTCACAACTGATCGGCTGCTCGCACTGTTGACAAGTACTGGGCCTGGTACAGTATAGCCCGGCCCCGTCTGTATAGGTTCCAGAATGCATCTGTAGCTGAGCCAGTGTATAATGCATTTAGTAATATAGTACATTATTTATTAAATTTATTTCAACTTAATACTCATGGGCGGATCCAGGAATATCAAAAGGGGGGTTCAAGCTTCAAGAAGTTGTGGGTGGGGGAATATGGCAAGCACAGTGAGTCCACCCAGCTAGGGGATTATTTTTTTGGGGGAGCTGTAAGCCCCCTAGAATATTTTTTTTATTCTGACCAATATGATGGGCATTTTAAGACATTTTTAAAGCCATGTGCGCTTGATATTAAGAGATATTCTGGTCAATAATAATTACTTTTTACTATACAAAAACGCCTGATTACAATACAACTTTAAAGTAAAGGTATTGGAATTTTCTGATGAAAAGGGGAGGGTCAGGTCCCCCCAGGACTCCCCCCTGGATCCGCCCCTGGTTATCATTTGAGATATGACTGGACAGCCACGAGGCAGGTCAATATGTCGATGAAGATATGGATGTACGGGGGGTTTAAGTTTCTTCTAGGACACACCTAAAATAACGTCATTAGTATGCATTTACAATTTAAATATGGAAGTAGCACTTGACTGTCGATAGATATTTCATGCTCTTGTGACATTTATGTTTTTCCTGCATGTATTGATTTTATTCTAACAGGTAGTTGACAAAATAGAGTATTAGTAGTAATAGTAAGGGTTAGTGATCCCGTGTAACACGCGGTCAACACTCATGATCAGTGACGTCACTGTCCAAGGCCGAGAATAATCGGAGAAAGCTGACACTGGTTCTATTTTTCTACTGTTTTTCCCATCTCCCTGTCTCTGGTAGGTTAATTAATCGCTTGTTCACGACAAATTGGAGTATTAGAGCTGGTGAATTCGTTGTACTTGGTGGTTTAAGTGTGGTTTTTGTGTATAAATGGCGAAAAGATCGGGGTTCGAGTGGGAGGTCCTTGGCGCTGATTGGCTGGCGGAAGCCTCGAGCTGCTCCTCGACCAATGAGGACGAGGCGGCTCACAGTTCCTTTCACCCAGCGCCATATTAAGTGACACCTGCGTCCTCCCACATTATTTCTAGTCATCCTCACATCTTTCAAGCGGTTAAAAGCGTTAATATGCTGTGGGTAATTGTGTGCGTGACCCTGCTGGTTCACTGCCGTGGCTGCAAGACTTAGTCTGAGGAGGTGGTGATGAGCTGGTCAAGTCCCACATAGTTCAAGGACAAGGAAAGTTGAATTTGGCCCAGGATGAGGCAAGACCTGGCGGGGACGTCCTCAGAGGGTGTAGCTTTGCCTGAACTGTTTTGTAACACTGCTACCTTGACAGTACTGGCCCCTAGGCAGCAGTGTTGGTCATGCTAGTGGTGGGTGATGGCTGGGATACAGTGCAGATTGTAGGTGCCAGAAGTGTGCTCTTCAAGCTTTTATTGTGAGCTGTATCTGCTTGGAGCAATGGAGGCAGAGGCAGCTGAAAGATCAGTGTCCTCGCCCTCAGGCAGTGAGGAAATGGAGAGTGACGGGGAGATCAAACACGAAGATGAGGTCGACAACGGAAAGGATTCCGATGAAGAGAATGACAAAGAAGAAGCAGAAGATTCTGACTCGGACGAGAGCGATCCAACGGGCGAGGAAGGTTCCGAGAACTCCGTCAAGTCAGACGACATCAAGAACTCCGAAGACAAGAAAAACACGAAAGATTGTGAAGCTTCGGTGAACGACCATGATGTGTATGTGATGGACGGAGAATGTTACCCCATGGCTGATCTACCCCTAGAGGTGATCACTACTGTGGAACCAACCAATTATTCCTACCCAGTTCTCAAAAATATGTCCAATGGGGTCCTGACACACAGAAATATATTTACCGAGCACGAACGATCTGTGTTAGTGAACATCATAAATAAATACCGCAACATAGTCGACACTCGCAGCCGAACCCGCGAAATATATCTGGAAAAACAGAGCGTTTGGCAACAGATAGTGGAGGAATACAACAGTACCGAGAATATTATGGTGCGCACGGAGAAAGAATTACGTAAGTGCTGGGACAACATGAAGTACCGGGCGAAGCAGGCTGAGAAGGAAATGTTCAAGGTGCTGGATGGAGTCCAGGTGAAGGCCGAGGCTTCTGAGTTTGAAGTGAAAATGGAGCCGCTAGACCAGTACGATCAACGCTCTCCTTCAGGTGAGTGTGCTTAATGTTGGGTAGCTTAAGGTGTAGATTAAAGCTAGGATTCCATATATGCGTTTGCAGTGTGTTTGTGCAGTGCGTCTTGCGGTTTGTGTTTGAGTTAAATTTCCCTGAAAAACGAACCCGTTTCCGTTTGCATGCAGCTGTCTTTTTGCGGTCCAACGAATTACCCAAAAGTATATTAAATCAGGGTAAAATCTTAACGAATATGTTTTACATCAATAAAACCTGATTAATAATGTTTTCATTGAAATGTAGTCAAAATAATGAAATAATAAACAGCGAAAAAAGCTAAATTCCAAAGAGGCACCTATCCAAAATGGAGATATAATTACCGATGTTTCTGTTACTTTGGGGTATTTAACATAGCCGTAGGATTTACTTTTCGTTAGGTTAGGTTAGGTTAGCGAAGTGCATCACGATGGATTTGAGTTATCTCCCTTGTTCACGAACTCTTTGAAATTTAGCGTTCGCCAATACTGAAAGTTTTTCGCTGTTTATTATTTCATCTTACAAATTATTTTAACAAAATTACACTAAAAATATTATTAAACATGTTTTGTGTATGTATAACAGATATTCGCTAATATTTTATCCTTATTTGCTATACTTTTGGGTAATTCGTGGCTCCCGTCATTTTGTTAGCGGGAACAGGACAGGAAAGATGGCTCTTAGTGCATCGAAGCTACGACGGTATTTATACAGAATCATTTGCTATTAAACATTCTGGGTTTGTATAAGATCATGCGTAAATCAGAGGAAAAACGGACTAGGAACATACTGTAGATGGTGGGCTCATAGATTGCTGCTGAATTGGTCCAAATATGGAGCCTACAATGCTCGGAAGGGTTATTTGTTCTACTGTTTATTTTCTTACTTTATTTTCATCAGTGAGTTCTGATATGAGAATCATTTATTGTAAAAATGCTTCGTTTGGTAGATAATTAGGTGCCTAGGCGCACAATACTCTGTCTTCTCGGCGGTAATTCGGCGGAGTCGTCTCATCCCAGGATGTAAACAGCCAATCATATTGACATATTTCAAAACACTCCGCTGCCAGGGCTTGATCAACCCCAATGTTCAGTGTATGATTAAGAACCGTTTGGTTCCTAGCCCCCCAGTTAGGAAGTTAGGTTAGGTAAGGTTAGGTAGGTTTATTTTGTTAGGTTGGTGAGGTCTTCTAACAATGCCTCTGCTACTTGTTTTTCATTTGAACTAAGGTTAGGTTAGGTTTAATTTAGAAATAACCACTTTTTAACACATTTGCGAAAACTATGACAGTGTCCACCATAAAACACAGTGAAATTAAGGTGTTTTTATAATGGTTTTCTATGAAAACTTCGGCCTTGGATCAGTCGTCAATACTTACCCAAATAAAAATATTTGCTTATTACTGGATTGACGTATTATCACACTGACTACTAAATACATTGTCTGATGTATGGGAGAACCTCTTGAAGGGGAGAAGTCTGAAAATCTGTAATACATCTGTCACTTACTAGGCTATATACTGAGTGACCTATTATTCCTGGCCATATCTTAATTTGTTTCTCATACAAGGATACAGGCTTTGTTAAGTCTGTAAAGTACTGGCTGGAGTACCGGTAACAATGAACATAAATGGTGTGTAGGCTACTTGAATGAGTGTTGATACTCGCCATCTAAATCCTTCCTTCCCATGATGTGAGTGATGCTCTTTCATGTATTGTGGGCCAGTTGTACATCCTTGTAGGTGGGCAAAGTTACATCATAAAGACACTCATGTTGGCGCACAAATTCAATCAACTTCTTAGTCTCCTCGACAGAATTTTAATTTTATTTTTCCTCGGGTCATTTTGCTGGATGAGGAGAGCAAACGGATCGCGACGTCACAGTGTGGGATTCTCTCATCACGTTTCCATGGGGTTGCGTTTTGCAGAGATTGACATGTATTGCAAATGCATAACGCTAACACAACCGTGTACTGTACATTTCAATATGATCTATTTTTGCCGCTAACACTACCACTGCTGCGTGAATGGAAACCTAGCTTAAGGATGCCACTAGATACTGGGAATGCAAATACATGTACTGAATGCTGTAGCTATGACTAAAGGAAAGTATGTTTATAGTGGTTGAAGTTTCTGGGACTAGATAATTGTGACAGCAGATTATATCTTGACCCATGGCTCTTAGATTATTTTTATGAATTGGTCTATTTACTTGAGTCATGTGTGAGTCAGTTGTACACAGTGAACTCTTCATGTTGGATGTAGTGTGAGGAATATTTTCAGATTATCTACACATCTTCTAGTAAAATTAAAGGCACTGGTAAACAATATTGTACATTCAACAACTTTTGGAAAAGATTGAAATAGCCCAACCATGGAACTCTAGATTGATTTGTATATAGGGAGATAGAAAGAAAAAAATATATAGAAGTTAAAGTGGAGGCAACGGTTAGCACCAGAAGGACCTTATGGAATTGCACCAAATTTTCAGACGTTGTTTAGATGATACCGAGTTATGAAATCGAAGTGACCATTGTAGTATTTGTTCTTTTTACCTTATCGGTCGATCATAAATTACTTGTTAGTGGGCAGGGTATGAAAGTAGAGTGAAATAACGGGGTAAAAACGCTGGAGACACTGATTGTATGGTAGGAGTTCCATGTCTATGTCCTTTATAGGCAACCGTGTTTTGTTTCGCATCATCTGTTATGCTGGAACGTCTGCGGTCTTTGTTTATATGTCAAGAAGTAACGAGGATCTCATCGGGTGTGTTTAATACGATTTATATTGGATTGGATTAGTTCACTTTTTCTAGGGATGGTGTTTGGATGATAGTAAGAAAATCAAAATGACAATGCACAGGTTAGGGAGTTAAGTAAGATTAGGTCAGATTCTAATAGGTTCTGTGCATTCTTGTTTCCACTTTCATGTTCAGTATAATGCAAATAGTATCTCCAGAATATTTGGTTCAATTCCATAAGTTATTTCTGGTGTTAACTGTCTCCCCCACCTTTACTAAAGTACATAATACAGTAATACCCTGTATAGTACTTTACAGTGTAGCATTTTTGTCAGATTTATTTATTTTTTCTTTCTTTCTCCCCCCACTTAGAAAATGCAATTTTGATCACACAAAGAGGGCAGGGCTTTGAACTAGAGGGAGATGTATGATTATAGATTTTCTTATTAGTGTGGTGATTGAACTACAGGGGTATAGTTCATACCCCAGCCTAACTCAACACGCTTTTGAGGGTGACTATTGTCAGTGACTGAGGCGAGTTAAAAATGGTCACTGGAAACGTTTTTTTATGTACAGTAAATGAGCAAAATAGAATTGGTAGGATTTGATGGATGGACGTTGATCAGCATTTAGGACAAAAAGTTGGAAAACTGAAGTAAGAAAAAAACAATCCCTGCTTCAAATTTTTTGTGTTGTTGCCACAAAGATGATGTTATCTGCAATCCATAACTAATCAAGAGTAGGTGATTTATGTGTGAAACTCAAACAGTGAAAATTACTGACTAATATCTGGATTTTAAAAACTAGGGTAATGTAGGAGAACACCGCTACCACGAGCAGTTGTTCAATTTCGTTCATTTTTTCCTCAGATGTTCTTATCATTATAGTACCGGTAAGTATTTTAAAAGGCTACATTTACTAGAACCTGACCTAACCAACCAAAGGAACCTACCTAACCTTACCTAACTTCCTAGCCAGGACCCTTGCCATATTAAACAGAAAGCACTTTCTGAGTATTTTGATCACAAAAACTTTTTTAGAAAAAAAACATCTTTATTGTGGACGTGAGAGTACGCTCGAACTGAGCGGGTCGATTGTAAACAAACATGTTAGGCGATGGCTCGGCAGTTTTTTCGGAGGAGCATTTACGGTAAATAATTAATTTCTTCACGTACAAAGCATGTAGAGACATTATTTTAGTGTCATATGATCAGTTTTTCACTGTGTTTCACCCTACAATTTCCCTCATCCTTCATGCCCTGCCCACTACAAGTAATTTATGATTGTAGATCGTGAAAAAAATACTTAAAATTTAAAAAAAGTTGTCACCTCTTTTAAGAAGATACTTATACAGTACTATAATAAGAACATTTGTGGAAAAAAGTGAACAAAATTGAGCAGCTCCTTCAAGAATTATCAGAACTAGTATATAATAACTACAGTACCTAATGTTTACAGTGTCCATAGTGATGCCAGTGTGGTTAACTAGAGATGTGGACCTGAAACTTAAATGGTGACTCACAATACCAACCAATAACCACTTTGTGTTTCCAGTCTCAGAACGTTTTTTTTAATTAAATCAGGATGGTTTGTTCTGTTCACCATCATTACTGATGTCTTTTCCGGTAAATATAGCATGATTATGTAGCTACAGTACTGTACTATTAATTCATTAAATTTAGACCGTGGATGTGACTGAATTACACTGTTTTAGTAAAGTTATTCTTCTTGAGATTTTATATACTATACTATATAGTTTAGTTAATAATTGCACATCAGTTGTACCCATTTTCCAATTAACCATGATTTTTCTGTCTCAAGTTTCCAAGTTATAAAGTGGTGCCCTTATTCAAGTTTTTCATGTGTATTAGTAGGAAAGACTTATTCAACACTACTACAGTACTACTACTACTTTGCTGTCACTGAAATCGAGTATGTTGATCATCCAGCTATGGTACAATGATATGAGTTATTAGGGATGGGACCTTCGTTGGTAAGCTTTGAGATGACTCGAGAGGCCGCTACGGGATCAATAGGGCCGTCCACAGATGTTACACGTGTGGAGAGCTACAGCTACTGAAGTGCAGGAGGGGCGGCGGCAGCGTCTTCCCGGCGTTGGCGCTTGTCTGCCTCGGTATGCAACCAGCTAACTCGAAAGTATTTGTACTTTCTCGTGTGGTGCTCCTCCAAGCTTTACAGTGTGGAGTGATCATCTCCCCGGTGAGGGGGTTGAATTGGCACTTTTTCTGGTTTGTCTCAAGACTATCCTTGTACCTTTTTCGTTCTCCAGCGTTATGTTTACCATCCGTTAGGTGACTGTAAAGTAGCTACTTTGATAGACTACTGTCGTCCATGTGGGTAACACGGCCAGTCCAATGTAGTTGTTCAAGAGTAATGGTAAACTCGATGCTCCTACAGTTGGTGTCGGCGAGAATACTGGCATGTGTTCTCTTGTCTTCCCAGTGAACTCGGAGGATGGAACGTAGACTAGGTTGGTGAAAGTTTTCAAGTGTCTTGAGGTGCCTCTTGTATGTGATCATTGTCTCGCTGCCATATAGTAGGGTGGGGAGGACCACTGATAAACGTGAAGCTCTAGATTATTTCAGCTCCCTATAGCTGAAGACGCGAATATGGAGTCTGCCAAAGGCTTGAAATGCATATCTGATCTGATGCTGAATCTCTTCATCGATGTCTATGGTGGTGGTGGTGGACAGGTGGGAGCCAAAGTACTGAAAGTGGGTAACATTAGAGAGAGTAGTATCATTTAGCTGGATGGATGGTGGAGGTGTGGTTGAACCAGGGCTGGCTGAAAGAGAATCTGAGTCTTATGTGCATTCACCTCAAAGCCAAAGTGTGCATATGCATCTGCATACTGTAAGTGTTCAGGATGTGCTGTAGGTCACGTCCAGTATGAGCGACGAGTGTGAGGTCGTCTGCATACTGAAGTTCAGTGATGGAAGTGGCTGACACCTTTGTTCCTGACTGGAGTTGTCTTATGTTGAAAAGGTCCTTCATCTGATACTGGATGTCCACCCCGCCAGCTAAATTGGCACTGCATGAGTAAGGAAGACAGCCAAGAAAATGGAAAGGAGAGTTGGTGCCAGTAAACATCTTTGTTTTACCCCTGTTTGGATGGGGAAGAACTCAGACTGGGTGCCATTGTGTAGGACACTGCTGTTCATGCCATCGTGGAGTTGCCTCCCAATGGCAATGAATTTTGGTGGGCAGCCAAAACGACTGAGAGGTTCTGCCAGAGGGCTTCTTTGTTGGCAGAGTCGAAGGCCTTATTAAGGTTGATGAAGGTCATGTACAAGTCACAGAGCTCTTCTCTGCATTTTTCCTGTATCTAGTGGGCAGCAAAGATCATGTCAGTGGTGCCACGTGATGGTCAAAAGCCACATTCAGATTCTGGGAGGAAGTTTTCCGCCTCGGGAAGAAGTCTTAGGAGGACTCGGGCGATAATCTTGCCAGCTATGGACAGCCGTGAGATCCCGCGGTAGTTGTCACAGTCTGACCGGGCTCCCCTATACTTATAGCTATTGATGATCAAGGCATCTTTAAGATCTTGGGGGATTTCCTCCTCCTCTCATATATTCTCCAGGAGAGAGTGGAGATGGCTGGTAAGCAGAGGTCCTCCTGCTTTATACACCTTGGCTGGGATTCCATCAGGCCACACCATATACGGTATTGTTTTAGCGGAATTGAAAAGTTCACGCATTTTGTGTTGCATCTGCAATTTTGGTGTCATCAACCCTAGTTGGTGGTACATAGGTAACACATGTACTGTACAGTATATACAGGTATATAAATATATATACAGTATATATATATATATATATATATATATATATATATATATATATATATATATATATATATATATATATATATATATATATATATATATATATATATATATATTTTATGTAAATCCACAATGAAAACGTGATAAGATAACGGATAAAATTACACACGAAAAATGTAAACAACGGAGTAATTTTTAGCTTTTAGTTCTTATTCAAAGATTCAGAGGCAATCTGGATATATGTAGACAGAGAGAGAAAGATACATCCACTATCCCCACACCAACACACACACGAGAGGAGCTAAGAGAAGGGTGGACGTGACTAGCCAAGTCAGGCTTCCAGAAGTGGGATCCACAAAATAAATTCAATGCTATCTAGGGATCAAAGGTTTTCAAAGCATTTTTAACCTGGGGCCACTGACAACAAATTTATGTAACATGTTATCAAAGCTTGAAACCCACCATCACTAAGGTTTATATACTAATTCCTTAATCAAATCAGCTTCAACAAAGTAAAGCTCTTGTTAAGGCTGATCAATACTGCAAGCTTTTCCCTGCTAGGTCATGCACTAACAAGGCACTGCTTTTCTGCAGATGCAGCCTGATATATACTATGTTGTTTGATTTTGAGCTGCAGTGTTTTTTTTCCTGTCTGACCCTACATATCACAATTACATTTGCCACATGGAATACACAATAAAACACTTCCATTTACATTCAAAACTTGGGCTATTCCTTATTAAATATACGTAATGGTTGAGTCATACTGAAAAAACAACATTAATATTTAAAGTTTGAGGACCCAAACAACGGACAAATTCAATACGATAGGGGCAAATATTCTATAGAAACCTTAGTTCTGGAGAGAAAGTATGAATTTTAAACAACGATCAACAAACACAGAAGGGTACCCAAGTTGTGCAATAGAACGAATGTGTTTCAATTCATTGACTATAATAATGAATAGCCTGTGTAATGTAAGCCACAGGTTCGAGCAAAATGTAATTGTAATTATGTAGGTCAGACAGGAAAACACTGCAGCTCAGAATCAAAACAACATAAATATAACATATCAGAACTGCATCTGAAAGCAGTGCTGATTGTATGTTAGGAATAATAATCACCCATTGCTTAAAAAGCTAGAAGTATTCAAATCACTTGTGTATCAGAGACTTAAGCTTTCTAAAGCTTTAGATTAAGGAATTAAAATCAATAAACCTTAGTGATGGTCAGTTCAAAACTGAAAATATGTTACATAAATTTATTTGTTCAGTGGCCCAAGGTTAAAAAATGCTTGAAAACCTTATCTAGATAAGATAGGAATATTTTGTGTGGATCCTTTTTTCTGACCTGACTTGCTAGTCACGCCACCACCCTTCTTAAGCCCCCACGCAGGTAGTTGGTGTGATTAGTGGATGTCATCATTTTGACCTGACCCCATGTTTTTAGGTCAACCCTGTATAGCTTCCCTCTGTCCATGTAATCCAGTTGCCTCTGAAGATGTCTTGAATAAAGACGAAGCTAAGGCACTGTCGCATTTTCTCCATATATATATATATATATATATATATATATATATATATATATATATATATATATATATATATATATATATATATATATATATATATATTTTTATATATATATATATATATATATATATATATATATATATATATATATAATATATATATATATATATATATATATATATATATATATATATATATATATATGTATATATATATGTATATATATATATATGTGTGTGTATATATATGTGTGCATACATACATACATACATACATACATACATACATATATATCGAGGCGGTTGAGGCAGGTGGAGATAGTACAGCACTCAAAATGTACGTCACAAAAGTTGAAGCGGAGGTTATTTTTCACTGCTATTTTCATTGACTATATGTACAGTACTGCACATTGCTCATTTTCCTCAGAGGCAGCTGCTGAGTTACCTTCCTGTGGTGGCAGCCTCAGCTTACACTAACTTTACCTCGTAGGCTCACACTAACTGGATTTTGGTTGTTTTCTTCCGGGTTGGGGGATACTGTACAGATGTCTGGTGCTGGACCCCAGTTCGATTTGCAAGGGAATATGGTTTAAGCAAGTCTGGGTTAGAGGTAGTGTACTGTATTTACATATTTAGCTGGACAGGTGCACACAATGCAGATTTTATCTGTTTTACCTATTAAACACATTGCTTGTGGTAATTTTGTTTATCAGTAAGCAGAAGATATATTGTACAGTATATAGTGTACTGCATAAAATAGACTTGCAGGTGTGAAAGGAATTATGCTTTTGCTGTATTTTGCACTTAAAGTACTGTACTGAATAAGATTTCACTGGATGTTATATGAGATGGGTAATGCTGATTTTTCTTACAAAGAATGTTTTGTGTTTAAATGTAGGCCTAACATATGTTCTTGAAATGTGGCTTTTCTAATACAATATTTTTTCTTGGATACAGATGATGAAGAAGACAGCACAGAGCCCTCTGGTGGTGGTGGTGGTGGTGGTGGTGCTGGTGATGATGACAGGGAACCTGCTTTAAAAAGAGCCCGTCAGGAATCTCCCAAGCTCTCCAGCCTCCTGTTGGCTGCTGCAAACAAGCGTTCTCCTTCCAGGAAAGTTAATGGAAGTAAAAATGGTGGAGTAACAACAAACAAGAATAGTAGCAGTGGCAGTTTCCCATACAATATACCAGCTTGCACAAAGGTTCTGCATGTAAAGAAGAAAGCTCATCCCTTCAGTCCCACCGTAACAGTGAACACCACCTCGGCATCAGAGATTCCTATATTACCAAAGGGATTAGCATCTTGCTTATCCATTACCAATATCCCCAACCCTGTCAGTGCTACCAATCACATCAGTGGAAACTTTGGTTCTCACATGAGAGATTCAGTTTCACCAAGCAGTTCTCCCATTCAAGGTTCAATCAAACCAATGCCAAGCTTGAAGAAAATGGTACCCAATAAACATCAAACGTCCAGCCTCAACAAAAACTCTAACTTGCGAGGGTCTCGGAAGTCCGGTACCCTATCTTCAAAAATGAGGGGTCGCAACTCTGTCCCTTCTCATAGCTCTGTAAGTTCAGGACATAATACAGTTTTTTTAAACAATACAGAAACTATTCATGATATTGACAGTTTAATATCCCCAATATTTGCTGAGAATGAAAGTGATAGAAATGAAATTGCTGAAAGATTGCTCAATACAAAGTTGGCAACTCAACGTCTAGAATTAGAACGGAGCGAGCATGAACTGAGGATGAAGCTGCTTGAAAAAGAGCTTCAAGCACAGACTTATCAGTCTCAGTACTGGTATCTTAAATTAAAACTGCTACGTAGCGGTCGGGAAAATGTTACTCTCAACTTGGGTGGTGCTACTAATGGTGATATTGATTAACTGGGCTTTTTATTAGGTCAGGTTTAACTGTAGGTTGTGAGTTTGTGATGTTTTTCATAGTGATTTGTGGATATGTTAAGAACAAAACTTTTGTATATTTAATGGTTAGTCTTGTACCTTAAATGGTTGTATTTAGTTTATTTATTGTGGTTGTTGGCTACTTGGTATTGTGTCATTTTGACTCACTGATGGTTGTGTTAATTTCAGGTACATTTATGTTGAGTTATATGATTTTTAAATTGATTTTCTAGACCATACATACTGTGCATTAAATGTTGATCCATATATCTGTACTATACAGCTTAACATGGAAGATGGCTTTTTTTTTACCATTATAATGCCTCTTATTTTTATTAAGTTGATGGAGGAAATAATTATAATTCAAGATTATGAATTTCTTCTTGCTTATGAAAAGTTCTGAAAAATTATCAAGTTAAGACAGTGGGATGATAAAAGTTATAAACTGGAATTAGTTATTTCAATAATTAGTTTTATGCCCTTAAAAAGAGGATTTCATGCTTTCGAACGCTTCTCATATGGTTGTATAGAAATATTTTTGGCAGTAATTGTGACCACTATCAGTGCTCTATCATATACTCTTTCCACTTAGCACCTGTTGCAGTTCATGGATGTTGATTAGTTAGTGGTTAAGTGTCTTGTGTAATGAACATCCACAAATTGTGACCATGTTTAGGAGGAATACTTGTGTTAAGACATGAAATCAGGGGTTCAAAGTTGGCATAACAATTTTGGAACTGTGGGTGTGCCTAAAAATCAGTGTTATGCCAACTTAATCTAGTACCTGTTTTGGGAGATATTTGCAAATCCCCATCACATGAATATTTTTACATGGATAAGTCCAGGGGTTGAGAGTTGCCATAATACTTTGTGTTAACTTTTATTTGCACATGTATACAAGTGCAGTTGCTCCAAAAAGGGTTGTCAAAATCTTTCATTCGTTGTGTCATATTGTAATGATACTTTTTTGGAGCGATTGTACATGCATACACACACACACACACACTCACACACACACACACACATATATACACATACACATGTATGTTCCAAAAGTAGTGCTGTGTCAACTTTGAACTTTGGTATGATCCCCTAAATGTGTGCATATATCATCATTGGCTTAAAAGTACATGTAAAATTTAAGTAAGTGAAAAATTTTCAAAATTTCAGAGTTAGTGTTTGTTCAAGGGTTTAACCTCTAGTGGGTCAATAGTATCATTATTTTTGTTCTCTTCTTTTTGGTAATGGCAGTACAGTAGAGTACTATACATTATATAGTACTTATTCATAATTGATCCCAAAATTTTAGTAAGTGTTTGATCCATAATTGATTTTAGTAAATTTTATTGGTGAAACAATGTTGAGGTGTATTTCATTGTCGCACATGTTGTGTGTGTATGGTTGTTCATCTCACCGTACTCTTGGGAAGATTTATGTGTCCGTACATTGGCCTGCTGTATACAATACTGTACAGTATAAGACTAGTGGTCAGCAACTGTGTTGCTTTGTATGGCTGGAGAAACTTTTCCCGTGTTAGTAATTTATATTTTCGGAAACTATATTTTGACAGGGTTTTCTAGTAAGAAGCAATACAGTACAAGATTAAGTTTTGAGAGATTTGCTTCAGTGAAACAGATTTGTAAAATTATGACATTCATCTTGTTTAGATGGGGAAAAGTGCTAGGAATAAATTTTTAGCCAAAATTTTAGCTGTCTCCAACGTCCTTGAAAATGTTTATTAATAACAGTGGGGTATAATGTTTGTGTACACAAGTACATGCTGCCTTAATTTAAAGAGGTAAAATTTGAATTATAAACCTCTATACATTAAATGGCCCACTGCAAATCTCAAATTCATCTTTCCTTGGGTATCATTTGAAAATAGATTTTTTGCTTTTGGTACAGATTTTCATATAAGTTAAAGGACAATTTTTTTTAGATTTCTGAATTTTAATTGATTTCATAAATATGCCACATTCAATTTTCCTTTTAAAAGACCTCGTTTAAATTTAATTATTTTTGCTTGTTCTATATCATTTTGAATTATTGTTCACATGTGCACTTGGCATCCATACGAACAATGAAAGTCAGATTTGTTAAATAAGAATATTCACTGGAATATACAGTAATTTTGTACATCATGATTAATTATTGACACACCCAACAGGTGGTGTCACTTTGGTCATAAATGTTGAAACTGATGCTAGTAGCCAGCCTCTTTCTTACTTGGTATTTATTTATTTATTTATTTGTTATTTATAGGGGGGTGCCTCCTCTGGTTGTAGTGTTGGGACCTTTATCCTTACAGTAGTGAACAGAGAGAGCAAAGCAAACTGGGGTATGGGATGTTTTCTCCCTGGTTATGTTTGCATATACGTACTGTAGTCTTCTCGTCCATCCCTCTTTTGGAATATACTGTATATATTTGTTTATTTACATATTGAGAGATTTGAATGGTTTATAGGAGTGGCTGAGAAAGGTTCACTAATCCAGGACCTGAGGTTTGTTAGGGTGATCCAACACAAACATTTTCTCTCACTGTCATCACTAACCAGATATGGAAATTGTTATCAGTTGTTACCTTCCCTAACACTAATAAGAATTTTTCTTGATCACATCTTGCTTTATTAACTTTTTATTATTTTATCCGACCCCTTACTTACTCCAGTGAATTTTACATTATTATTAATACACCCAGGAAATACAATGAAGGAGTTCCTATGATTTGGTGCATAATATTGATTAATACTTAGCAATGGTGTCAGTTTTGTGTTCATCTACAATATTGTGTGATGCTATGTTACCTGGTGCTGCAGTTGTGGCTGCTTACTACGAGCCATTGTTTTGTTAAGGAAAAATAAATCCTGCGAGTGATGTATATTGTTCTTCTGAGTGATGTGTTGCTTGTGAATGAATGCCTTATTTTGGACACTGCAGTTGTTTTGAACAGGTCTACTGCCTTTCTTTTGTTGGGGAATTTCTCTCTCTTGTGTGATTTTAATCTGAACTGAACAAATACAGCAGTATGAAAAGTTAGGGTTACTAATCTCAGGTGAATGAAATTACATGCATACATAGACATATACATACATACATACATACATACATACATACATACATACATACATACATACATACATAGAGAGAGGGAGAGAGTGAGCGATATACTGTACAAAATATATTTTCATACAAAGCTTCAGGTGTAGTGCAGATTGGCTGGACAGGTGTTGATTTGAGGCTCCCATTCAGCTAGTAGGTTGTTCCACCGCTTCACCCAAGGTTGTCTGCCATCGCTAGCATATTAAGAGGGAACCCAGTCTTGCACTTTGTTTGGGAATATAACACTTGACACTAATGTTGGGAGTGTGTGTGTTAGGCTATGGTGTTGGAGTTTTTCTTTTCTGTTTCTTTAAACATCACTTATACCTACTCTGGAAAGCTGTACTGTAGTGAATTTGATAAAAGTCCACAGCTTGAAAGCAAAGCCAACAACCTTCTCACAAAGACAGCAGAAACAGCTACCGGTAGAGTGAGTGAGTGGTTAGATGGTAATGCCCTTTTTCCATGATCCTCTCCCCCTTCCCCCACTAGCATGTCAACATGAGTTAAAATGAAGTGACAGTATTTGAGTTTTGTTGTTGATAGAAATATGACTTCATAGTTCTCTTGGTAAGGTATATATCTTTGAATTCTTCTGTGAAACTATAAAGTATTGTTTTACATTTACCATTTGGTTTTACCTTGATTCTTATTATACATCAGAGAGACATGGCTTAAAACCTGTGTAGGTAACACTGAAATTAAATCCCACTGTAGGAGAAGATAAAACAGAAAAACAAGAGCATTTTGTATTTTGACCGTAACCTATAGTCCTCTTCAGCAGTGGGGTTTGTGTGTTATAATTTATGTGGTACTCTGTTACATAATTTTCTCAGCTATCTAGCTTGATTCTGTATAACTGGAAGGCCTTCTTATGATAGCCCTTTTTTGTTCATCAGTTTTGAAAGACATTGAAGAGCTGTTTTTATCCCCTTGTTTGGTAAAGTGCTTATATTTAACTTCCTTTAGCCAACAAGCATTGCATCCTCTCAGAGCTACTGTTTTGTACAGAAAGCAAAATTATTCTGTTACAGCATAAGACACTTGTTCCTTTCTAATCCATTTTGGTGTTGTGTTGCATAAATGTTTTCACCTTTGCAAGTTCTTGGCTGGTGCATGTGGTTACTGTGCTGATGTGACTGCCATACTCACATCTCTTTTCAGTTTAATTGTTGTATGGGCTTCCCTTGTGTGGTGGAAAGTTGTCAGTTGAGTGAAAATCTGCTAAACAGTTGTCATTTTCCTATTGAAACCCATTGCAGTATACAGTACAATTATTAATAAATACAGTACAGTATGCACAAAAATTCTGTAATAAATACTTAGAACTCAAATTTAGTCATAATAGAAATACAGGGTCAAGTACACTTTCCAGACACTGGTGATAAACACTTGAGTGTCTGACTTCTGTCAATCCTCATTAACTTATCTAATTTCACCTCAAGTAATAATCTTCCTGTTTTTTTTTATAACATCAGTACTTAATGATCTCTTGCCAGACATAATTAGAGGGGTGAATTGCCTTGAAAAGTGAAAATCAAAACAAACCAGAACTGCTAAACACAGAATTTACAAGTGAAGTGTGGGAATTACACTAACGAAAAGTGCCACTAATGTCAACTCAAAGTAGGAGACTTACTCTGACAAACAGAAGACCTTTATCTACAGGTTTAACAAATCATTCCCCCATCCCCTCATTTTTCCCTCTGTTTATATTTAAAATTTTGATAGTCCAAGTTTGTGAAATTTTTACCTTAATTTTTACATTTCATAACTTCACAATTCTGCACAACACACCTCTTTTTCATTAACCTCACCTTGAATATTACCACTTTATGTTGTAATGAGAAAGGATTGTAAGAGAAAAATTGGTATGAAAGAGTGAATATCAGAATGAACTAGTGCATTTATTTAGCCATATTCCTTGAGGTAGTTAGAATAGTATGTTGTCTTAGGCTGAAAGATTTTAATGAAATTTGGCTTTTTTGTGTGTCCTTCATCCTTAAATGCCATAGAGCAATGTAACAATAATAATCTGCATAAGTCATCAGGTTTTATAGAAAGTTAGAGCATAATGATTGAAGGTGACCTGGCCATGTCTCTTTATCAATACAGTATTTTAGTTTCACGTAAGATTTCATTTATAATTTTTCAGTACTTGTACAGTCAGACCATAAATTACAGGCATCCCCCAGGTTACGGGAGGCATGTGTCATTGAAAATTTGTCCATAACATGAAATTCCATAATGCAAAACCAATTTTCCCATTGACTTCCATTATATAATTGGAGATGTGTTCCCAGGGAAATATTTTTGGCAAAAAGATGTAATACAATCACATTTATGAATGAAATTAATATTTTTTTAATACATACATTGATTATTTTATGATATAATATGGTAATAAATATGCAATACACTTGAATTTAACTTACCACAAACGATGTTGAGTGCTGCGTTAGGTGAGGTGGTGAGGTAAGGTGAGGTGGTGAGGTAAGGTGGTGCAATCGGAGTTACTGGGAGGGAGACGAAGGGGCACTACTGGCTCCTGCCTCGCCCTGTACAGTATTGTAGAAATCCACACGAAATAAATTTTATAATTTCTGTGAATTTTTTTCTAATACTTGTAGTATTGAAGAAAAAAAATTACTGTACCGTACTTAAAAAATTTACCCAATTTCCGTAAGGGCGAATTTTTTGTCCGTATCCCGAATTTATTGGTCATCATTTACAAAATCCGTAAGAGCGAATTTCCATAACCCGGGGGATGCCTGTAATTTTACCTCTGGAGTTTGATGGATTTAAAAATGAACACTTCCTCTCTTGTCTTCTTGATATGGTTGGTAATCGTGATTGAAAAGTCATTTCCATTATCCCTATTTTCTGAAATATTCTCATCATATTTTAAAACAGAATTACACAAAAAAAATTGCCTTATGATTTAGATTTTTTTTTTTTTAGATTGCCCCCGAGGGGGCTAGTTTATTGGGCACCCCCCTTACATCCTGTGCAAGGTGAAGCGCAGAAGCGTTTACAGCGCCCATCTGGGAAGCATACTAAGTTCATGCTTGCCTTTATGACTCGTGCATTAAGGACTTATGATAAGTTACATATTCCTGTACAAAGAAAGCAGGGCTACCAATGTGAAGCCAGGTGAGAGCTTTGTACTGAATTTTTGCTGGTTTGTCATATTGTTTGTCACTGAAAGGGATATAGTAATTTATGGTCTGTCTGTACATAACTATTAGACTGTACAGTCACAATCCAAAGTTTCAACACCCCCCCTGGCTGGGTGTTCGCTGAGGCCAGGGTTGAGGTAAGGCTGGGTGATCGGACGCAGACTAGTTAAGCAATGTGGCAACGAGGCACTACAGTGCTCGTGTGCTGTGAGTCTCGGAGCGTTGTGGTGGTGGAATGTCTGCATCCGATCACCCAGCCCTGGCTTCGGTGAACACCCAGCCCGAGGTGGGGGGTGTTGAAACTTTGGATTGTGACTGTACAGTACAGAACAATTAGACAGAATAGAAGTTTGTTTTGTGTGTATTTACTTACTGTAATATCATTTGATGGCCACAAGCTTGTATTCTATAATTGAACTGAGTCTGTTTCCCTTAGTTGGTTTTAAGTGAACTACGGTAGTCATCCATTTTACAAGTGACAGTAGTTAACCTTGAGTCAGATGGAGCATACAATGTCCCCTTGACGGAGAGAGAATTGCTGCTGTTATGTACCAAAAGTATTTCATCTGGAGAGTGGACATCCCTTGCACTTAAAACAGTGTCTATAAAGTAAACGTCATACCTTTGTCAGGTTATTCAGGATTGCCGCCAAGCTCAGTACAGTATTAACTATTGCTTGATCATTAATGGTTCTTTATGGTACTGCTAAAAAAGAATCATGATAAATATAATGTACAGTGTAACAAAAAGTACGTATACAAGTGATTTGAAAGAAGAAAAAAGGGGGTAATAATATGCATAAAAGAAATGACAAAGGGAAGGAGGTACAAGCCATCTGTTTGATTATAAATATACATGTAGTACCATCAATTAAGTATACAGTACCCTGTATATGCATTTTTATAGTTGAAGCAAGAGGAAAGAACCTATGGTATATCTGTTGGTTATGCAGACGTCATATACAGTACAAGTACTAGTAGCGTAGTTGTTCAAGCCTTTTCCATTGCCATAGACATTAGAAAAATAATTATAAATACAATATTGAATTCATTTGTAACATCAAATCTTTCTAGTTTAGTTTCTCCCATTTTTAATCCTTATTTTCAGTTGTGTAGCCTGTTTTCTTTGTCATTATTTCTATACCATTTTCTTTTTGCATTTCTCCTATTTATTCTTGACACTTAAAGTTTATGCTCTTGTTTTATTGCATACGTAGTTAGTTTCCTCTCATGTGAACACCTATTATTCTTTAAGCTGCTGAATGCAGACTTTCCTCCCATAGTCTGGTAAGTATGCTGTATCAGTCTTGGAGGCTTCCTTGTTCACCTGCCTCCTCACCACTTTAGTAACTCATTCAAAGTTTTCAATTTTGAAGGGAAATTAATAAATACTTTACAGGATGGATGGGCACCTCTCACACTCATTGATTAGAATTTTAAAGCCTCTTGAGTACTGTACATGGCTTAACTGAATACTTTCTGTTACCTGTACTGTGTTGTGTTTTAAAGACTGCTCTGACTGCAGGGAAGGACAGGGTATTGTTCAGTGTGTTTGAGTTTCAATTTTGTTACAGTTTGTAAATCTTTGTGGGTTATAAGTTAGTGTTGTATATAATATCAAGATGATAGTGGTCAAAGGTTGTGTTTGTTGGGTTTATGATGGGAGACATAGTGTTCATTTATACAGGTATCTTCACCAGTAGATTCAATTAATATCACTGCCATAGAAATACACGATCTTGATGCCTGTATAAAAATAGCAGAATCCTTTCGAGTAAACTGACAGTGTTATGAAGCAAATGAGGTCACCATTTGTGTTTGCAGATCATATATTTGAGTGGCCTAATGTGCCATACTGCTTCCATTATTGGTACTTATCACTACAGTACAGTACCAGGAGGAGCACAGGAGATGGGTTCTTTGTGTTTTGGGGTTATAATTTTTACACAAGTGTATATGGTGAAGATTACTATTTTTTTTCTTTTAATACCTGTATTGGAAAATATTTGTGTTTGTCATGCTTTATTTATGATATTAATCATTATGTGCACCTGGAACTTGCCTTGTTGATAAGAAGATTGACAGAATGCATCGACAGTGCCTCATTTGTTACCTCAGGAGAGAGTTGCACGTTCCTGCAAAATATCAAAATGACATGGAGTAATGTTTATTAATAAAGGAAATGATAAATTACTTTGTTTTAATGATTTTATCCCACTTGAGCCTTTATCAGGTTTGTATGAGTTCCCCTCTGTGCTGAATAAAATTGTCTTGCGTTAGCCAAATAGAATATTAAAAGTGGTATCCCTGTGGTGAAGGGGTTAAGTGGTACATAAGATAAACCTTCCTCAAAACTACTACTGTATAAATCAATGGGAAGAGCTGCAGGTGTAGAGATGGGAATAAAAGAGAAGCTGGTAGAGTTTGGAAGAAAGTTCACTCATGCAGCATCAATACTACTTGGCCAAATGTTATATACTGTACAGTACTAGTTCCCTGTCTCATGGTGAAGATTTATATTGTTTATGGTTGATGTTGCTATACCTTTTGTTAATTTAATGACCACACACTACACTCGGTTGTCCACAATGCTTCAAGGTGTGAGGAAGTGCTCTTATTCTTTGAGTTTCTAAATGTGTTATTGTTATTTAATATGTGAAAATGGAATCTGGGATGGAAATAATGTTGAAATAAGTATTGAGAGAGGATGATATATATGTACACTCACTCCAAAAGGTTACTTTATGGAGGGTCCGATGAATTTCAAAATGAACATCACTATGCCTGTTGTCTTGGTAGGTTTGTCAAAATCCTTCATCCGTTGTGTAATACTGACCTCCCACCCACCTAATTTCAGACTATATACTGTACTAGATTTGCTCTTCTCAGTTTAATTATTAAAAATGATTGTGATGGTAACAGTTGTGATATACAGTAATGTAGATACTGTATAGAGGCAAAAAAAAGAAAAGGATAATTTTCAGTAAGAATAACCAACTAAGAATACAATGTACATAAAGCTCTATCAATTTTATTAATACTGTACATTGTGTGGGAGTAGGTGGGGGGGGGGAGGAACATGTGTAGCCAGTAGGTGGGAGGAAAATTGGAATATAGTTCTGTACAGAAAAACATTGAGAAAGGAGATAAAAGTAACCATAATAAAACTTATAATGGGAAATTATGTTAGTGGACAATATTAGAACCAAAATGTTGAAATTGGAAAGGAAGAACTCATTGTGGAAAATGGTCGTATGTTGCCAGTAAGAATGGTGTTGGCAGAAATTCAGTATGGTAATGTGCAGTGTGTGGCAAACTATAGGATGTTGTTGACTTAAATTGCAAGTACTGTAACCAAGTGTCCATAACTAGGCTGGAGAAACTCAACTTTGGGGGATAAATCCCTGTACCGTGTCATGAGTTTTGTTACCTGGTCGACATGATCAGTGATGGTGGGGGTGCTGAAGTTAGCAAGAGTCAGAAGTGGCTGGAAGTTTAGGGAGTTGCTGTCTTTATTGACAGCAGGAGGACCTTCCCTTTGTGTGAAAGGAAATATGTACAGTACAGCATACAGCTGGTGTGTGAAGTGTAATTTTGTATGTCAGAGAAACAAGGTCAATTAAAAATGATGACAAAGCAGTTTTGAGTGATCTGAAATGAGAATGTTCAGGTGGATGTACAGTCGGGGTCAAAAGTCTTGAACACTTGAGAATATTTGGCATGTAAGTACTCAAAGATCTTAGGTATTAAGGAGAGTTTTATCCCATTTTGTGGTTCAGGCATAATATGTGATGGCAATTAGTGTTATTAGTATATCCCAATCATATATGTATAACTCAGAAGTAGATTCCAGATATTCCTAAGTGTTCAAAACTTTTGACCCCGACTGTACAATGTGACACTGAAAGACTGTAGACCCTGTTCAGAGCTAAAGGGTGGCTGAGTATTGAGAGTACCATACAGTCCAGTGCTGTGCAGAGGCAGGCTGAGATAGTTTGGGCATGTGGAGAGAATGGGTGAGACCAATTGGGTCAAGAAGTGCATAAGCCTAAATGAGGATGGGAGGAGACCCAGGGGTAGGCCAAGAATGACACGAGGAAAGGTTGTAATAAATGACATTAAGAATTAAGAACCTAACAAGAGATTACAAGAGACTGTGCAGTACACCCTATACTGTATAGGAATCACTGTCAAATTCTGTACTGTACACTACAAAGTACTGTACTACATTTGTAGCGCATCAGAGGGGTTTCCCGGTTGCCCGGAAATTCCCTTGGGTTTGTGGGAGAGTTGTGCTGTAAAATTGTGACAAAGAATGAAATCTTGGAAGAGGTTAGGGAATTTAGATGTTGGTTACTAACATTAAGCAAAGGAGAGTAAACCTTGGAACTGAGGGAAATACATGACGGTGAAATACCTGTACGGATGTGGGCTGAATTAAAATCATCCAAATGTCAAGACAATACTAGTGAGTAATCTAAGCACTGTATCTTACATTAAGTGAATGGAAAGATTGAGAAATAGTGGAGTCGATTGGAAATTAGGAATGGCTGTGATGGCAGAAATGGATTATGAAGCGGGTGTGAAGTGGATACCAGAGGCCATCATGACAAGGAGAATATAGTACAGTATAGAGGTGCTGTATCAAGTTTTAATGATTATATCTTCATTTTTCAGAGAATAATTATTGAGAATGGCAGTGGCAGGCAACTACTATTTTGCCATTGTTGGACACCATGACAACCCCATGTTTGAGATGGAGTTTACACCAGCCAACAAAGAGCCCAAGGTTAGACAGTCTGTGCTTTGTTTATTGCAATTCTTTGGCCAGAAGTGAGATGATTATTGTGTTTCTTCAACAAAAGATTCTGACGTTTTGGAGAGATGGAATGAGTAGCAATTATGGAAAAGAATGGGGTTAATCTCAGTCACAAGTGAGAGTATGTAGAAAGCTTCAAATATGCTACAGACTTAGGTATAGATAGTATTGTTTGTACAGAATATATTACAAGAGTTATCAATCATTTTTTCTTTCATATATCAACCATAATCTATTGCTTATACATAGAGGATGAAGGAATATAGCTACTCACAGGAAGCTACATTGACCTAAAATTGTTTGAAGCAAAGTAGAATATGACTTCCATATCGGCTAAATTTTTTATATTCTGGTTGTCCTGATTATTCACTATCCCAGGCAGCCATCATCCATTTCTCCAGGCATCCATAATCCACTTTCCCAGGAATCATCATCCATTTATCCAGGCAACCATAATTCACTTACCAGGCAGCCGCCATCCACTTTCCTAGGCAACCATCATCCATTTATCCAGGCAACCATAATCCACTTACCAAGGCAACCATCATCCATTTTCCTAGGCAACCATCATCCACTTTCCTAGGCAAATGTCATCCATTTATCCAGGCAACCATAATCCACTTACCAGGCAACCATAATCCAATTACCCAGTCAGCCATCATCCACTTTTCCAGGTAACTGTCATCCAGTTTCCTAGGTAACCATCATCCACTCTCTCAATGGTCTTGCATCATATTTACCAGTTAATATAGTATAAAGTCTTTTGTACCAGATTGCACAAGTCAGGCCTCTCCTCACCTACCCTGTCTTATGTCTGTATGTGTATATGAGTACAGGCCATTATGACATTATTATAAAGAGTCATGTCCAGGTTTATATTGCTTAGATAAATTAAACTGGGATGATGTAATTCCAGAAGGAAGATCATCGGCACCTCAACCAGTTCATCGCCCACGCAGCTCTTGACCTGGTGGATGAGAGCATGTGGACCACGGGCAACATGTATCTCAGACTGGTTGATAAGTTTAACGAGTGGTAAGTTGTGTGATGATGTGACGCAGTACATTATAAATACACCTGACGTGGGGATGTAGAGAATGAATACCCTGTATGTGTGTTTTCTGTCTTCCTGTTGTCCATGTATAACACTTCATGTATATTTCCACGTTGATGAAGATGCGCTTCTTTTCGTGTAGAGAAAGGAGAACAGAATTAGAGTACTGGAGGAAGTTTTGCAGATGGAAGGAAAAAGCCATTGTGATGAAACTGAAATTTTGGAAAACACTTGAAGTTGATAATATTAAGGCAGAAATATTACAACACGGAGAAGAGAAACGGGTAATGAAGGGAAGATGAAGATTACAAACCCCCAATTCTTTCACCTGACCGTACAGCCTGGAGAGCTGACATCAGGTAGTCATGGCTAATTCATGCAAGTATGGAAAATTGCCATTAAACACTGATGATGATTAAACATCCTAATTTTAACCTAACCTAGCTCCCCATTTAGTATAAGTGTGTTTAATCATGAGGTGAAATAAGTGGGGATTCCTAATCTTCACGGGTTCTAATAAATAGTGAAAGTGCCAGATGAGTGGTTGGAACCTTTAATAATACATTACCTTAGTAAAGTTGCTCAGTGTGTAGTATCTGGGGAAGTATATTTTATGACAGTAATTGATTGGATGAGGAATAAATTATAGTACAGTACAGAGTAGGTGAAGACCACAGAGAATTTAGAGTGTAGGGGATTATACTGTAGTCCACATGTCCATAAAAAAAATGCTCACACAAAAATACAATGCAGAAAATATGAAACTGTTAGCATTCTGAGAAGACATAGGTTGGATAATGAGACACTATGGGGGGTGATGAGGATTTATGGTGTAGGGGGAAACCTAGCTTATGAAGTGAAGGTATTATATAAGGGTAGTAAGGCATGTGTGAGGGTTAGCAGAAGACCAAGTAGGAGTTTTGAGTAGGAGTGAGGCCTGAACACATTCTTATAAATATTTCACCTAGACAGAAACTAAACTAAATACTGTTTATGGGTACTTACACAGTTATGAGTTGTTTCTTTTTTGGATTCCAGTATAAATACCATTTTGGGTTTCTTGCAAAAGATATCTCACTGAGGGGTAATGGTAGGGCTTTTGGGTGGTGGCATTATGCAATATAACACTGTAATAAGAACAAATGTACACTGCCTTGTGAGTGAACAAGACACCACTTGGGTACTGTGGATGGTGTAGGTATGTGTTGCACACCTTTTAATCACAATCCCACATTGCACCTCACATCCCAAGAAGCTTGCCTGGACATGTGTTTTCAATTTTGCATTTTCAAAACTATGGACCTTGGCTGCTCATCCAGTGCAATTGCAAAGAATATACTGTATGCGCAATGTAAGTATTTGGTACAGTATTTAAAAATAAATCAAATACAGTACTAGTGGCAAAACCCTGCAGAATGAAAATATGCAAAGCTAGAGATTGTTGTAAGTACAGTATACTGTACAGTACTGTATACTGTAATACATTATTCTGATATTTAGCATTGTAGAAATGTTAATGATGATGATATAAGATGTATATGTCAATGTCTTTGATCTGTGGAGCAGTAAAACTAAATAGCCACTTTTTTAAGGTATGTGTCAGCATTTGTGACTGCTGGCAGAATACGGCTCATTTGTCTCCACGATGTTAAGAATGATGATGGCATCAAAAACTTCTTCATGGAGATGTATGAAACATATATTAAGGTAAAGATCATTTGTTTTTGTAAACTTTTTCATTATTATTTTTGCTAGCTTAACTCAACATGGCATAGAATTCACAGATTGTATTTATTTTCTTTAAGAACGAGGCATCTCCTCACTCAGTTGTGTACACCTTTGTTCCTGGGTTTATTAAGCAATGTGCATACAGTGTATAATTTTAGCTTATCCTTTTGCAGTACATTACAGTATGTCCCCATACAATCACAGTTCTTATGGGATGATTTCAACAAACCAGAATTATTACTTTAAACCATAATTTCAATCAGACTTCATTCCCAACCTCTGACCTCATAAGTTTGTTGCCCAGCACTTCCCCTAAGCTGTCATGATTACGTACTTAATGAACCTTTATAGTATTTGTTTTAATTTTTCAACAAAAGAGAGTTGGCGGCTTACATATGTAGTGGTAGGGTCTCCCAACTTTCCTGTATTTTATTACAAAGCATCTGCCTTGTCTTTCAAGGTGTCATCTTCTGACCTCAAATGTAAACCTTATGCTTTGGTAAGCTCAAGTATTCCATGTCTTAGGATTCTAAAACAGGAGGAATTGATGAATTACCTGGTTAAAACTAATGAAATGAACATTCTATACTTACTCTGTATGTTTAATGAGCATCATAGGCATACTACTTGTCATATATATGCAAGTGTTTGTTGTACTGTACAGATACAGTGTGAGTAATTTGCAAATTATTATTTTGAACTATTTTTTGAGAGGGATGACAAAAATTTACCACCACCCCTGAACCCCTTATTTTCCATTAAAAATAACTTTAGTTCATCATGAATCAAACTATCAAGGCCCTGTTTTGGTACCTAACCTTTATAACCATCGGGGAACCATTGATTCATACTTGCTCTTAAGTTTTCAGTACTGTAGTAGTACAGTAGTTTCCAAGCATAAGACTGTACTAATTGTATTTTATAACTTCTTAGGTAAATGTGGTCTATCTGAGTAAATGTTAACAAGAGAAATTGTAGACATGTTAAGACTTATTATTTACCGTTTGCACATCATATATAATGTATCATTTCTCTTACAGCACTCGATGAACCCATTCTACACTCCCAACAGTCCCATCAAGTCTCCAGCATTTGAAAAGAAGGCACACTTTTATGGAAGAAAATATCTAACTGGCTAATGATTCTCCTTATATAGGAGATAAGAGAAATCAGGTGTCTGGTTGATGGTATCAGTACTGTATGCAATTTTAGATATCATTGCCTTGTAAGTGAAAAGAATGTGTGTTTGGTGTATGTGGTAATTATTCGTACTGTTATTGCTAGTCACTGAGTCCATATATGAAGAGGGAGAGAAATTTATGTAAAAATCTGAGGACATTGAAACTTAAGTGTAGTTTAGTACTGTATATATATACAGTATACTGTATATGGATTTTTGAGCACCACTAAAATTATCTCATTATGACAGCTGTTCTTTCATTAGGCTCAAACTTCTGTTGGGTGAATGAATTTTTATTTTATTTTTTAAACAAGTATTCAGTACTGTATAAGGTATTTTTTCCCCATTTTTCTTCCTTCCTTCCTGATGATGTTGTCAAGTTATAAACACCATTTTTGTGTAGCCCTGATGGTGTTGTCAGGTCATAAACACCAGACACACATGACAGTAATAATTGTGTCATACAACTCATAAAAACTTTAACAGGTTTATATCTTCTGGAGAAACATTTTGAGCCATTAGTTATTGGTGTCTAGGTCTTGAAATTATCCAGAGATATCAGTTGACCCTTCTGATAATATTTCACATTAGCATTAGTTCTGTGTTGGTAAGTCTTTGGAGAGGTGGATGAATGTATGGTATGGACAGGTGGAGAGATGGATGAATGTATGGTATGAACAGGTGGAGAGATGGATGAGTGTATGGTGTGAACAGGTGGAGAGATGGATGAATGTATGATATGAACAGGTGGAGAGATGGATGAATGTATGATATGTACAGGTGGAGAGATGGAGGAGTGTATGATATGGACAGGTGGAGAGATGGATGAGTGTATGATATGGACAGGTGGAGAGATGGATGAGTGTATGATATGGACAGGTGGAGAGATGGAGGAGTGTATGATATGGACAGGTGGAGAGATGGATGAGTGTATGATATGGACAGCAGATTTCTGATACTGTACTTGTGTTGTTAATGATAATTTTTTACCTAGGACTATAAAATTTTTCATTGTTGATTTTGTCCTATCAAAGACAGAGACGCAAATTGTAAGTTTGGGCAAAAGTTTCTGGTTATGTAGCTGCTGAGAACTACAGTACCTACAGCAATAATATTGAAGGATCTAATACAGGAGAAGGTCTACAGGCTGGAGCAGATCTTTGATGCTAATGAAAGATCTGCTCCGTGGTTCAAGGTGGCTAAGGACCGCCTTAGCCTTCTCCTCTGTGACTTTAATGTGAAGCCGATGCTGCTCTATAGGTCCTTGAATCCCCATGCCCATAAGGGAAAAAACAAGAATCACCTCCTTGTCTTTTGGTGAGCCAACAAGAAGGCATAGGTGACTGCTGTAGTTTTTCTTGACTGGTTCAACAACTGTTTTGTCCATGAGGTGCAATGGTACCTGAAGCCCAAGAATATGGTGTTTAAGGTCCTTCTGCTATTGGACAATGCCCCTGGTCACCCTGAAAATCTTTATTTGCTCACCCACAAGTTGAAGTAGTCTTCCTACCTCCCAAAACAACCTTTCTTCTCCAGCCAATAGACCAGGAACTTATTGCAACTTTTAATTCCACATACACACGCCGCACCTTCAAGAGAATCCTTGATCAGATAGAGAACGACCCTTCTCTGACAGTCGCTGATTTCTGGAAAAAGTATGACATTGCTGGCTGCATGACAAATATCAGTGAGTTTGTTGAAGAAATTACAGTAAATCTTCAACTTTGAATGCTTGCTGGAGAAAACTGTGGAGTGATGTGGTGAATGAGTTTACAGGCTTCCCCTCAATGAATGAGGAGGTGCAGAGGATTGTGAGGTTGGTGCTTCAGAATGGAGGAGAGGTCTTCAACGACAAGCAAGAGGAAGAGGTGCAGGAACTCCGACGGTCCCATCAAGAGGAGTTGGCAGAGGATCCGGAGGAACTCATACATTCAAGTGAGGAAAATGAAGATGAAAGTGATGAGGTGGAGGTGGCAAGATCACAACTTATGCTGATGGTTCTGACAGAAATCCTTCCGAAGACCAAGGCCCTCGGTGACATGGTAGTTGAACTGAACCTTTTCATGGAATGATGCCTCAAAATAATTAGGGAATTAGAGGTTATGCTGCTCCCCTATATTGAAACTTACAAGGATTTACTGTACAAGATGAAACGGTCGTCCATCACAAGTTTTTTTTTTTTCAAGAGAGGCACCAGTCACTGCTCCCCCCCACATCCACCACTGCACCAGCCACTTCTCCGACCACAACCTTTTGTCCAATCACCACCTCTGATCCTGACAACTACCACCCATCGCAAGTTCTCCAGCATCATCTGCTGCTTCTGAGGGATCATGGTCCTCCCTGGATGATGACAACCCCACATCCACCTAACTCCCTTCCAATATTACCACCATCATCATTGTCATCTCATCAGCTTTTACATATAGTACATGTATTTTATTTATTTAACATGTACTACTGTACACTATAACTCATAAAAGGTAGCTCTTCGAGAATGTGGAACCCCCAGTCCCATTTTTGCCAATAAGGTCTTAAGTTTAACATTTGCAGATTTGACATTCATGGTGTTTTTGAGGAACCTAACCTCCACAGATGTTGAGGGTTTACTGTATGTTTTTAACTTTAATAGTTTATAGTACACCTTATACAGGTAGTAATGGATAATAAGCACTTGATATGTTTCGATCATTCCTTTGCCATCTATGATTATAGTTATGAGAATATTTTTTACATACCTATACTTTGTATTGTATTAGCAAGTTTGTAAGGTAAACTTTAATAATTTAAATGTTTTGATTTGTTTTAGAAAATGTTCATTCATATCTTCTTATGAATTACTTAAACTGTTTTTTCTCTGTGTGTATAATAGAATGTGCTAAGAATGACAGCACTGAAGGTTAGGCATAAATATTGCATGTCATAAGCTGTCATGTTCATTTGGTATGTTGTCATTCATAGCAAGATCCAATAGACTCGCCAGAAAGATTTGGCAATACAATAATCTGATAATTGACTTGATCTGATGTACTGTACTTTTTGTTTTCAACCAATGTACATGATGTATATATAAAAGTTTATTAAGCTTTTTATATGATGAATGATTTATACTGTACAAAACCTACCATATAAAAAATGATTTAATTGTTCTGGACTTTCAATAGACCCATTTACTTATAAATTGTGCATTAGGCAGGTTATCCATCTTGCATCAGAATACTCCCTTCATGCATAAATGTGTATAAGTGTTTAGTTAAGAGATATTCCATATGGTGTTGGTCTACTACACAATAGTAAAGTTGACTCACACTAAGAATGTCTGTCGCCTGCTAATGCTAGGGCTATACCCTCCCCCTAACATAAAGGGAATATGCTCAGCTGCTCTCCTCCTTAACAGACCGATCACCAGGACGTAAGAGAAAATACTGTAGTTACCACATGTATTCAAGTATATAAGTTAAGTTCATGGCGGTGTTGGAGCCTAGTGTGATTATGAATTCTGAAACAAAAACTGACTAAACCAACTGGATGATCCTCAGTTGACTTAAGAACATAACATAAGAAAATAAGGAGTCTGCAATAGGCCAGTTGGCCTGTGCATAGCAGCTCCTGTGGAGAGTTACTACCACCCTCTATCATCCATGAATCTATCTAGCCTCCTTTTAAAATATTCCAGCACTTATTACAAAGTTGCTAAGCTTGTTCCACTCGTCCACCACCCTATTTGTGAACCAGTTCCTTCCATCTCCCTCCTAAACCTAAACTTATCCAACTTAAATCCGTTGCTCCGAGTCCTATCCTGCTTGGATATTATAAGAACTTTATCTATATCACCTTTATTGATTCCTTTCACCCACTTAAATACTTCTATCATATCTCCTCGCACTCTTCGTCTTTCTAGGGAATGCAAGTTAAGTTTCTTTAACCTATCCTGATATGGAAGGTTTCTAAGTCCCGAATCATTTTCGTCATTCTTCGCTACACTGACTCTAGTGAATTGATATCCATTCTATAATAAGGGCACCAGAACTGAACAGCATAATCGAGGATAAATCTCTCAATTGTGCATGCATACATTTTAAGTTTCACAACCAAGATTTATAACTATTGCGGAAATTGCAAGTTAAACAAACAAAATCGTGAAAATGGAATTCAAATACAGTATATGTTAAACAATTAATTAAGGAACACATATAAAATATTCATATAAAGACAAAAATAGTAAATAATATATAAGAATATACACACAATGATGACATTTATATCCAAAACAGGAGTAACTGAATTAGAAAATAAATTCTACTTGTTCGTTTAGTTTGTTTTCGTCTTTCAGAAGGACCGGCCAGGCAGTGTAGACAAACATGATGGACTGGTGGGTGTAGTTGTTCAGGTGTGAGGAACAATATTACACCATCATGCCCGTCACCACGCCTGTCTCACCCCGGGTGTTTAAAGCCATTGAGAAGTCAGACATACACACATTAGCCTGCTGCCGGGAAGAGGAGATCAGACCTATCCTGCCATGTCTTGTGAGGATGAGTCTGATAGCCCCGTTGGACCACTCAGAAGAATGTATCGCTGGCAGGAAGGTCATACTGAGGATCCTGTCAGGCATAGAGGTGGTCAATTCCCTGGTGGCTCTCCTTTCTATAGATTTTCCTGCTCTTGAGGTGGACGTGAAGAAAGAACAACAATTGAGGTAATTATTCGTTGTAGCACACCATCAAATTTTTTTTCACGAGATGTTTGGTTTCTGATGTATTTTGATGTGTAAAGATGCAAGTAATCCTTGATCAAAAACTGCTATTTTCCATCAAAAACGAAGGTAAGATCTTAACAAAACACAGTAAATGTTAACCAAACCGCTATCACTAGAAGTTGTTTGTTGACTTTTTATTTTTGCAATACTTATTGTGGTATTTTTGCATTAGTGCACATAACTTTCCTACCCCAAATCTATTATCATATTCGAAAAAGACGTCTTTTAAGATAATTTTCTTCTATTACATTACCATCACAAACGTATTATAACGGAGGTAGCGCATGTCAAATCTTTCTCTATTTCTTCTATTAATCTTCTGCCATTAACGCCTACCCAACCTCCCACTCAACGTGTTTCCTTCATAAATCGTCACTCGCATGCGTTCCCGTATATGTCACACGGCCAATCAAAAGCGTTTTTGGGGGGAGAGGCCACCAATTAAAATGAATTGTGGTTTAATTCGCGGTATTTTTTGCCCAATCAGATTCGATTGTGATTTTGGGTCTCATATTTCGAAATTCAAATTAATTTCCGACCATGAAAGTCTGCGATGGGTGTCATTTCAATTATATGGAGTTGAACGCTCGTTTTGGGGAAAAACGAACAAGCTATAGCATTTTTTTAGACTCATGATGTTCTCCCAACCTCAGTAAAGTATCCTAAGTGTAAGAATGAGTGTAAATATCGTCAAGACCAACATAGTTGGCATGAACCAGGCCAATAAGGTAAGAAATAAGTGATTCCATCATATGGTGATAGTTAGGTCAGGTCAGGTCAGGTCAGGTTAGGTCAGGTCAGGTCATGTTAGGTTTGGTTCGGTCAGGTTAGGTTCGGTTTATGTTTTGCTAGTGTTTTTTCTTTTATGTATTTTGTATTGGCCTTGCCATAATTTTTGTCGGAAAACGCCCCACCCAAAACCCCCGATAACTAAAAAACAGGCAATTATCTCTTTTTTTTATTATCAAGCAATAAATGATGTAACTGTGCCATAATTATACTTTTACACGATGTTTTAGAGTTTGGACTGATTCGATTCTCTTGTCATCGTTTTCTATACCGTTAACATTCGTCACAATTCTCTATGAACTGTCTCCTCTCACTTATATGGTTCCCTCAAGGGAAGGGTACATCATGTGATGATTATGTGTTAGAGCGTCTTGTCTACATCATGTTGACCTGCGTTGGTTGTGATTATTCTTATCGCGAATTATCAGGCCTAGTTCAAGCTCGTTCGTGACAATAGTTAGGTAGGGTGTTCTAAGTTCGTTTGCTTACTTTGGGAGCCCAATATTAAGGTAAGTTGTTTGTTTAGGGTTAATTTCGTTCGTGACTATCATTAGGTAGGGTTCCTAGGTTCTTTTGCTTAGTGAGATTTTGTTTAAATTGTTTGTACACACTATTAACATAATATTAAACACATAAATTAACACGATAATGCATATAACCTACTAGAACCTGACCTAATAGGTTGGGTTTATTAGTTCATGTGTTTAATATCATGCTAATAGTGTGTACCAAAATATTGTAACCAAATCGCACATGTCCTTCTGGTGATAGCGGTTTCGTAAACCTTTACCCAAAATACGTCCAAATACAGTACATCAGAACCCAAACATCTACACCCCTAACTTTCACTAAATTAACCTACCTTAACCTAACCTAACCCCTGCGAGGAGTCAGGCAGTGTGACACGCCTCAATGCTCCAGACAGCTCGCGGTGGGACAAGAAATGATGGGTGGAGATTTATTGATCTAATTTTTTAGGCGTTCCTCACTTGAGTGATTTTTCTGAAAGAAACATGTTTCCAAGAGGCTTCAAGAGTTGATGAATGTATATATGAGGTAGAAATTACCTAAAAGTAAGTGCTTCTACGCGATTTGAAAATGTGCTAAACCGAGTAATAACCACAGTTAAGGTTAGTCAATGTTCAGAGGAAAAGACGTGTTGCTGTTCTGGAGCTCCTTGATGCCTTTTCTTTTAGAATTCATAGTGGATATTTTACGTGACTGGCTAGTTCCTACTTACACTATTTTATCGTGAGTGAGCTCTGATTGACTAAGTACTTTCTGTTTAAAATGGCGAGGGTCTGCCCTTCAGCTAGGCAGTTGGGTAAGGTTAGGTATGTTCCTTTTGTTGGTTAGGTCAGGTTCTATTAGGTTCTAGTAACTGTCGCCTCTTATGATGATAAGGACATCTGTTGAAAAAAATCAACAAAATCGAGCAACTCTTGGTGGTAGTGGTGTTTTGGTTAATATAATATAGACAACTGGCCCGCCGATGAGTTATTTGTTTTGGTGTTTATTTTCTTATTCTATTTTCATCAGTGAGTTCTGATATACAGTAATAATAATTTTTTGTGCAATTACTTCGTTTGGTAGATATTTAGGCACCTAAGGTGCTCACTACTTGTCTTCTTGGGGTAATTTGGTGGTTTTATGTTAAGGTTAGGTTAGGTTGGGTTGGGTTGGGTTGGGTTGGGTTGGGTTGGGTTGGGTTGGGTTGGGTTAAAAAATAACATTTGCACAAACTATGACAGTGTCCTTTATAAAATGGTTTTATGTTAAGGTTAGGTTAAGGTTAAGGCTAGGTTAGTTTGGGTTGGGTTGGGTTAAAAAAAAAATTGCTCAAACTACGAACATATCCTCTATATAACACAGTGAAATTGTGGCATTTTTATAATCTTTTACTATGCTAAATCGCTGGCTGTTCAGTCGCTAATATTTACCGTTCTTTTTAGTGTTTTACCTCACATTTTCCCTTTACTGCCCATTTTGGACAACCAATATTGTTAGTAATTGGGGAGGTCTTACAGGTTAAAATACTCAAAAAATATAAATTTGCACCAGAAATGAAATAGGATACAGTATAGGAAGTAAGCTTGGTAAAGATTCAGTAGTGATTATACAGTGATCCCTCGGGTTACGGAAGGGATGTTTCCTTGAAAAGTTGAGCGTTAGGTGAACTTCATTTTCCCCTGATTTCCATTATACAGTAGTATATAATTGAAGATGCATTCCTTAAGAATCTTTTTCAGCAGAAGCATGCTTTTGAATGAAAATAAATATTTTTAAACACATATTGTATTGATTATTTTACAATATAATATAATAAATACACAAATCACTTGAATTTAACTCACCACAAATGATGTTGAGTGCTGTGTGAGGTGAGGAGGTATAATGGGAGTTATTGGGAGGCGTAGGAAGCCCGAATATTTTTGCAATCTGTCTTAAGTTTTTCTCCCGCATCAAACTCAATAAGTTTTATGTCCAATGTAATTTTCTTATCCAACCTCATTTAGCACTACTGCTTTCACTTGCACATGTTAGCCTCTTTCCACTTGTCTTGAATAAGGGAAATACACTGAAGTGTCTTGAATAAGACACTAAAGGCGAAGACTCAAGAGATTAGCTTAACACATGTCTGGACACCCTGCATTATCGAAGTGAAATGTGAACAGCAATGCATGAAAGAAAAAAATAGTTCATGTATTATTCTGCAAATATTTAATTCAAAGCAAATCTATTTACAGGCAAAAATTGGGAGGTGGCAACCAGAGTGAGAGTGTTCTTGTACAAAACTTGGCAAATGGACTCGCTCTGGAGTTTGAGTGTTCAGATCCCACACGCAGACTTCGACTGCTGCTCTCTGAGATCCTACTAGTTATGGCTCAAGTATGAGTTCTTGTTTTTTTTTTAGTTTTTGTCTATGAATCATGTAAAAATATCTTTGTACTACCATAACTATTTTTCTTGAAGATACACCATAAAATTTTCCTCCAATCAAAATTTTATAGTACATGTGCTGTACTCAAACCAATTACAGGCATCTTTTATTGAAGTAAGGATGTATTGGTTAGTCTGTGATCAAGGATGTTGTTGTAAGAGTTTTATATTTACCATTAAGTTAATGGTTTCCAATCTGTGCACACACACATTTTGAGCTCTCATTGTTCTAACAATTATGAAATCTTATGATACCAGGATATATGATGGGTTTGTCATTTAGTTCAAGTAAGAAATATTGAGCATAGTAACAAGAGCAGGTATATTTGATTACATCATATGAAATAGACCAAATAAAACTTTTTAGGAAGCTTCTGGAGAAGTCCAGATGGTATTCATATAGGGTACTGTTCCTCTCAGTATACAGTATACTGTACTGTCTTGTTACTTGGAATCATCTGTACTTTACACAGATCCGTGAACCACGACAAGATTTTTACCACAAAACGTCAGAGCTGTTTGACAACCCATGCTACCTCGAGGAAGTGAGTGATGTATTATGTATTGCCTTGGCTGAATTACCAGCCCTGTTACCCCCAGCAGAAGTTGCAGAAGCTCTACTGCATGTCACCAATGGTCCCATACTTATTGCTCGCATGGTGGCAAACCAACCAGATTGTTTTAGAGAAGGTATGAAATCTTTACTCTATACTCTATCATGTGACATTTTAGTTGATGAGTTTTTATACAAGAAATGTAATAAAAGGGCAGTAGTTATAGGAAGACAGTTGTAAATTTTAGTGATGGATAATCTTTACAATGTGTGTTCATTATGGACACTGTCTCCAACACAACTGATGGAAATATTAATAATGAATTTATGTTATTGACTTCATTGTTGTTCAATCTACTCATGTGTATTTTTTCTAGTTGTGACTGGATTAGTGATGACTGGAGATAAGCAAGATGAAGATTCACAAGGTGGACTGTTACGTCTACAGGCAGTGCGAACACTCTGCCAGATGAATCCTAATCAAGCCCTCAATGTCAGGGCCCTGTGTGTAAGTACAGTACAAAACTTTTACAGTAAAGATTAATGGGTACCAAATATTTTTATATCTGCTCAACAATTTCCTAACTTACTTTTTACTTTTTTCTTCTTTATTTGTCAGCTATTTTTTATACATTCAGATAATGTGAAGGATTACAGCAGGCATGAATCCTTCAGTTGTTCATAGTCCTTGAGTCTGGGTTTGGGCTGAACTTTATTCCACACTTGTATTTATTATAGCATAAGATGATGATGTTAGTGTTAAGTCTGTTTTTCATTACCTCTGATGGTAGGAGATTGTTTAGGCTCCCTAATTTAGGGTAACGTTAGAATGTTTCCTGTGTTTAAGACTCCATCTCCTTTAATGGGTTCTCCCATTATACTCATAGTAACGAAGGATTCTGGTTCAATTTGATGTCTTCAGGCGTATAATTATGGAATTTATGGTCCTTCTACCTGGTGAGTGGTTTTTCATAGCCTATAAGGTGGTGACTGTCTGTGGTTAACTTGTGCATCTTAGTGAGCTGGTGAGAATTATGACCAAACTTAGAAGGAGTTTAGGGTTGATTCATTGTCAGTTTCACCTCACCCTAGAAGGAGGTGGGGGGGAAATTGCATTGAACAGGTTTTGTTGCAAATTTTTTAAAACTGTATTCACCTTGGTATTGATTGTTTTGAATTTTTATTTTCAGGTAGAACAGTGTCGCATGCCAGGCTTGGCAGTTTATTTGACATTGGATGCTGGCAAGACTGGCTTTAGTATTGCTAGTAGTAGTGGGGGTGTAGGAAGCAGTGTGTGTGGCGGGGAAGGAGGAGATGTTGTCAGCTATGTCACGGGCTTACTTCTCTCACATAATCACCAGCAACGCACTTGGTTTGCACAATTTGTCAAAAGTGGCCAGAGGGTAAGCATTCTACTGTATTCATATATTGGAATTGTCTTTTAGCATTGGACATTGCTATACAGTGCAGTACAGTCTTTATATAGAAATGTGGTAAGGTTCAATTACAGTACGTATATTGGTTACTATGCTAGCATAAAAAGAACAGCAGATATATGTTATGCTAAAGTGGTTGGGAATCACTTTTGTCATGCTCACCCACTTAGAATGGAGGTCCCCATGAGAATTAAAATTTGTAGGTTAGTTATTGTAATTTGATTTTGTCTTCACAGAGAAAATATGAACAACAAGCCTCAGCCTTAGTGGCCCTCCGCACAGACCTCAGTGAGCGGTTGAGGAATTTGTTGCTCTTCAACAGCAATGATACGTTACCAGACTCACAAGTGATCCACGCCACAGCCCTTCTTAGACTCTACTGTGCCCTCAAGAGTTTAGCTAATCTCAAGTAAGTGTGTTCACTCCACATCATTGAGATTTATAAATTTTATTTACCATATGCACTAATGTATATGTCTATCTTGTGCATAGTCTGAGTCCTGATTTTTTTATAAAAATGCCAAATTTTATCATATTCCTTGTGTATAATTCGACCCAAGCTTTTGAGAAATACTAGGAATAATCTTAGACATATTTTGTAGCAAGACCAAATTCTCAACAACACATCTTGACCTTGATCACCACCACAACAGCTGACACTGTTTTTCTGAACTTCTCTTTATCAGTACTAGCCATATCTTTCAAACCTTCATGTCATTTAATAGAATTTCTGTAGTGTTTTCTGCTTCAGGTTTGGGTATAAGAAATTGTCTCTCTTGCCATAATTTAATTAGCAAGACCATACAGTAGTCTTGTATTTGCATTGCTCATCTTAATGATTTTTCACTACACTTGCTGACAAATCTATCAACACCATTGTGTGGCCATTTTCCATACTTATGTGGATTAGCAGCAATTACCTGATGACAGTTGTTCATGCTACATCGTCTCTTCCAGTCTCTCTCATCAGGTTCTAATATCTGAGTTCATTTCACACAACCTCTCCCTATGTCATTCTTGGCCTATCCCTGGCTCTCCTCAACTCAACATTAAACTTATGCACATCTTGATCCACTTCATCTCCTCCATTCTCTATACATGCCCAAACCATTTCAGCCTGCCTCAATGCAAAACCTCACTAATACTCCTAACAGGGCTTTCTATCTTTCAAATTTTCATTACACATCCACCTCACCATTCTCATTTCATCTCACTCAAGTCTGTGTATGTCATCCTCTATAACCACCCATGTTTCACTGCCATACAGCATCATGCTTCTCACACTGGCTACATACATCTTTCCTTTCACGCAAAGGGAGGGTCATCTTGCCATCAATAAAGGCAACAGCTCCCTAAACTCTTTCCTGCCATTTCTTTCTGACTCTTGCATAGATCATGTCACCCAGGCAGCAGAACTCATCGATATAGTCCAGGGATAAACAGTACCCCTAATGTTGAATACGGTATTAAAGTTAACAACATCCTGTAGTGTGTCATTTACATCACTGCATCTCTTATGTACCCACCGTCCACACTCACCACAAATTATTGAGTTGCTGCTAACATCTTTCTTACAGACAGCACATGGTCATTTTCCACTTTCCACCACAGGTCCTTCGCCCACACCAGTAACCCCTTCACTGTGGGGATGCCTCTTTTAATATTTTATTGGGCTAACCCCAGATGATTTTATTAAGCTCAGGGGAGACCCCCATACACAAGGGATTATGTTTCAGCCATGTTTGCTCATACTCCTAGACTCCATTCCATCTTTCCATTTCTTAAATTTCTCCACTGCCTCTTCAATGCTATTGGTTATGAACACCGTAAATATCAGTAATATTTAATGGGGACGTGTGGTGCAGTTTTATCATGTCATTTTGCCAAATTTTTCTCTGCAGGATTTTATTTCCTTATCTGATATTTGTCTATGTTTAAATATATATATATATATATTTCAATAGACTTCTCATAGGTAATTTCAAGATGCATAAGACTTTTCAGGAATTTATATGTTTGTAAAAAGATCTGGTCAGTACTGGTTATCTATTTTAGTACTTGTTCACTAGTAATTACTGCTATACTTATTTTAACCAAAAGTTGGTACTCAGAAATGCATCCTAAATTTTGATGATTAAGTCAGTGGTAATATACTGTAGGGTTCAGTTTACATTATTTTACCTAATGTTATGTTTTTCAGGAATACTAAACCAATATCATAGAGGTCTTACTGAATCTTATGGCAAGGTGGCCAGGGTAATATTATCTCATGGCAGGGTGGCCAAGGGTAATATTATCTTATGGCAAGGTGGCCAAGATAATTTTGTCTTATTGCAAGGTGGCCAGGGTAATATTATCTTATGGCAAGGTGACCAGGATAATATTGTCTTATTGCAAGGTGGCCAGGGTAATATTATCTTATGGCAAGGTGGCCAGGGTAATATTATTTATGGCAAGGTGGCCAAGGTAATATTATCTTATGGCAAGGTGACCAGGATAATATTGTCTTATTGCAAAGTGGCCATGATAATATTATCTTATGGCAAGGTGGCCAGGGTAATATTATCTTTTGGCAGGTTGGCCAGGATAATATTAATGATGTATGTAATTTCAGATTCAGTGAGGACAAGGAAATTGGCTTATTACTACAGCTGGTGACGTGCCATCCTCCACCATCAGCTGCTGGGGTGAGGTTTGTCAGCACTGGCCTTTGTATGCTCATTGCTTGCCCTTCACTCATATCCTCTCAGGAGAATGAACGTAGAGCCTCAGAATGGATCAAGTGGTTGGTCAAAGAGGAAGCCTATTTTGCTGGGTAAGTTTCATGCAATCTCTTTTAGTACTATTTTAAAACTAAAGTAAAAAAAAAAATGGCTAACAAAATCCATTTACTTAATAATTTGGTACACTTGTGTTAGTTAAAGGCCTGAACCTTTGACTCTTAGTCCTCTTTTAAGGATTCTGTATTTTCAAAATGTATAACATGCCAAAGTTGATTCCATCTACAGTGCGGTACAGTAAATTTAAAGGTTATTTTATGCCTTAATAAAAAGACTGATTGATCTAACCTGAAATATAATAAGTCACACATGTAGCTGAATACATTGTCACCAGATTTTACCTTCATAGTATTGCTCTTCAGCTGAGTCCCATTTTAAAGTAACAATATATTCAATATATTGTATAAGCTAACATTTCACATTTTATGTATGTTTTCAGAGCTAGTGGTGTTTCCTCATCCTTTGGTGCAATGCTCTTGTTGATGGCCATACACTTTCATGTGCAGCAGCTGAGTGCCATTATAGAGTTAGTCAGTGCTGCCTTGGGGATGAAGGTCATCACCCGCGCCAACAACCTCTCACGCATCAAGTACATCTTTACCCATGATGTTTTTACAGAACAGGTAATGCTTTTTGTTTTTTAAATCTTAAATTTAATGGCTTTACATGAGCCACATCTCTCTAGAACTGTTTTAGCTTGCAAATAGATTTCTAGGACTCTCTTAGGCAAATACATTCTCGACTTGATTTTGGTGATGCCAGAATTCTGATGAACTACAGTACAGAATATGAAAACCTATGAAGGTCCACTTCTTTATGAAACTTAGGGATCAGTTAAGAATACTTATATCATCTAAATGTTAAGCTAAATCATTATGCAGTGTTGAACAGCTGTGTCTTAATGCTGTAGTAGAGACTGGTTGATCAAGTGTTGATAGTTTGGGATGATGTCAGGTTTTTGTTGTTCGCTCCTTCAACATTTAACGCTTGGTTTTAAAATGAGTACTCTGAGTGGTCTGTCCCTGTCATCATTCCTCTCAGTACTTCTGTATCCTTCAGCTACTTTCTGTACCTCTTAATATGTTGTTATATACAGTAATGAGTCTAGGGGCTTCTGTTCTTATCCTGTATTGACCCTTGTTCTCCTTGGATGTCTATTGTCTGTACTTGTATCATAAAATGTGTGTGTGTGTGTGAAAAACAAATCTTTCTCCTCAATAACATTGGTCAGAAAATATCTCTTGTAAGTATGATTGTGATACAAACTAACCAAACACAACAAAGAAAAGCTACAGTAGTTTACATTGCTTTCACATTTTCACTGCCATTTTCTTGTTTGTGCTATTAACTGTAAATTTGTAATATTATTTTGTTTTTAATATACATACAGTATATGTATATAACTACAGTAGTTAATATGGGTTTAGTATATTTCATAAATTAATAGTTTTATAAATAGTAAAAAAAGGGTGATTTTATGACTTGGGAAATATTAAAAAAAGGTCAGAAAATTCCACATTTCAGACATCCCAGCCTCCTGGTAAGTTAGTGATGATATTTTACTGTACATGTTTTCTGTGTGTTATGATCTAAACCAACAAGTTCTATGTGTTTGTACGCAGGTTGTCACTGCTCATGCTGTGAAGGTTCCAGTGACCTCTGGCTTGAATGCTAACATTCCAGGTTTTCTTCCTGTTCACTGTGTTTATCACCAACTGAAGAGTAGAATGTTTACCAAGCATAAAGTTCCAATTAAGGATTGGATATATAAGTAAGTACCTCTGTAATCAGTTAGTTTATATTATACAATTCCAAGATTTATTTTTGTACTTAAGCTCAGAGAGAGAGAGACATTATGATTTGTGCACTTCTGTCCCGGCATATTGTATGTCTAGACTTCCATCCAACTTTGGTTTATATAAAATTTTACACAAAATCAGCCGAGAGTGGAGACATATTGGTTCTTGTATATGCATTGTGATCCTTACATAACTTGATCACATTTTCAAGCTGTCTTTATATGTGCCTCCCTCCCTCCCTCTTCATTTTTATTGTTGTGTACTGCACTTCATGGAAATTAGTTCATTATGATATAGTTACCTTTTTCCATTACAAGGTGGTTTACCATTATAACATAACACAACAAAATTATATCTTAAGTAGATTAGGTTATGTTAGTATAGTAATGATTTTCTTTACAGTTTGTGCTGTGGTTATCTACTGGTATTTGATTATTTCTATTTATGGACAAGTTTTAGTTTAAAAAATGGTACAGAATTTTATCTGTCTTGCTCTTGTTGTTCTAATGTACTATTGTTCTTGTACTGTATAATCACAGCCAGATCTGTGCATCTTCAACACCATTACACCCCGTGATGCCTCAGCTGACTGAAGTGTATGTCAACTCCATCATCTTGCCTGGCAGTAAAGGTGCACACACAGACACCTTCAATGAGCCAATTTCTGAAGAAGAAATAATGGCTGTCTTCTCTCAGTCAATTTTTACAGAGAAAGCTCCAGTGGTAATTATGAATATACTCTACCGGTAGTCTTAAGTATTCAGTTTCCTCATTTATTATGCCAGGGTTGTCATTATACTTAAGTGGTTAGTATTGGAGGCTAGAAAAAATACTGTACAGTATTATAAGTTGTGGGGGTTGGGGCCCCTCAAGAGAAAAGAAAGATAGTGCTGTACAGGTACTGTACATATATAATTTATTCATAAAAAAATCACTAAACAATCAAAGAAACAATATGTTTTCTTGGTCTTCCTGATGGTAATTGATAATCAGTTCTTTTATATGATAACTGAATTTATCCCAGGATTACAAATGTTTTTTTTAATAAGGTTCATACAATACTTTGCATGTTAATACACTATATAGTGAACATCTACAATATTATACAGGTATGGGACCGTTTATCTGGCGTCCTGCAATTCGGAACGCTGTAAAAACTGGCTTTGTTATGGAACACATTATTTAAAATGAGCGCCAAAAGTTTTGGTGATTCCCAGGCCAAGTGGTGATATTTCCAACCATTCCCTACTTGTGAGCTATATGTTTGTATAAAACTTGACATATCTGCGGGTTTACATCTGTGAAACCGTGGTGTGTTTAGGTTAGAGGGTCCACAGTGGAGCACTGTTGCTAAAGATGCTGTTGTGTCACTAAGGTAAGTATCAGGGGTGACTACTCTTAGGGGTGAATTTAGGGATCGGAACAGAGGCTTCACAGCCACTTACAGAGGGTTTACTGTACATTTTGTACAATTTAGGCATGGTGCTCCAAAATCCGTAAAAAATTCTATCCGGTAACCCCAGGTCCCACGTATGCCGAATAAATAGTCCCATACAGTATCTGTATTTATTTTTAATTGATTGTTAACATTGGAGTTATCATACTATACACAGTACAGTAAAGCCTCAAATAACGACGATAATGTGTTCTCCAATATTGCAGTGTAAGGTGAATCATCGTATCGCAAATCATTAATTACCATTAAAATAAAGCAATAATAATGAGATGCGTTCCCAAGTGTGACCTTTTCATATATTTTGTGTGGCTTTTTGCCCTCTTTTCCCCCCAAAACAATACAATTAATGAAAATTGCAAACTGTATTTTTAAATAATGTTTCTGAATGCACCTTATATGAATAATAATATGGTCACACAAGAGGAGACGGGATGCCATTGTTTTCATTTGTGTTTACAGCCGGGACTCCGGGACGATAGTTCTACATGAGGAAATAAAGAAAATGAGATTCTGGTTGTAGCTGTAGTAAAATTAATGTAAAAAAATGAATATATATGTCTTAAGTAACATTATTTAATGTTATTAAAAGGAACAATAGAAGTAGCTAACCACTAATGGCAAAGAAAAAAAAGAGATGAATTGGTAACACCAACATATACGTGCGCATTTAACTATACCACGTCATTTATATTTTTAAGAATATTGTATGTACAAAAGATTCATTATTGTTTATTTCTGAATATGTATTTGATTGAATTAATCTTTATATATGCGAATTGAACAATACAATTTATTAATAATACGTAGAATATTAAAACACACAAGAGGATAAGGGACGGCATTGTTGTCAGTGCTTACACCCATAATGTCAGTTATCCACCTGAAACTGAAGAAAATAAGACCCTGGTTGTTGTTTTAGTAAAATTAATGTAAAAAAATATGTGTTTTAATTAATGTTATTTAATGTACAGTAGAAGTAACCACTGATATTAAAGAAAAAGTAAGAATGATAGTGGAACGCCAATGTATACGTGCGCACTCAAGGAAACATAGTCATTTTTCTTAAGAATATGTACAAAAGATTCAATATTGTTTATTACTGAATATGTATTTGATTGAATTAATGTTTATATATGTGAAATGAACAATGCAATTCATTAATAATACGTAGAATATTAAAACACACACGAGGAGACAAGACGACATTGTTTTCGTGAGTGACGATGGTTCTACATAAGAAACTGAAGAAAATAAGACCGTGGTTGTAGCTGTAGTGAACTTAATTTAAAAAAAAATTAATGCCTGTGTGTTTGTTTTAAGTAATGTTATTTAATGTTAATAAATGGAACACTAGAAGTGGCTAACCACTAATGGTAAGGAAATAAAGTGAGACGATTGAGAACGCCAACATATGAACATTATGAAAGCAACACTTATTTACTGTTCATATATGTTATAATATTTACGAATGTAAAATAAAAATTATACTCACCAATGGTGGTAAAGTATAAAACATAAGGACAGCCAATGAATATTGTGCGAGTTTTTACTCAGATGACGAAATCATCAGGTTCAATTTTGGCTGAAGCTGTAGCTTTCCATAAAGCTGTTGCTGAAACTGTTACTGAACCTGAAGTTGATGGTGAAGCTGCTTATGATGCTGAATTTGATGGTGTAGCTGAAGTTGGTGGTTTAGGCCTTTGAATAATAATGCTGTCGAAAGAACCTTGCACAGCTGCTTTCTTTTCTCATTATACATCTTTATGTAGAGGTCATTTGCGTTTATTTAAATTTTAATGCTTTGTTCTGTTAATGGATCCACTTCAGAAAATATGTTCATTGCTTGCTCCATATAATATCCACAGACCTCACACCTTTTCATATTGTTTTAACACATCTAGTTTCTTGGTGAAGTTTATACACTTTCTATTAGCTTTTGAAACAACACTACCATCACTTGCTCTCTAGCTCATGTTGAATAGATGCAAAAATGCTGTAAGAAACCTGAGAAAGTTTTTCTCTTGTTCCTGTTCCAGATGCGTGAAAACAAAAGGCCCGCCAAGCTCCGACTGTTGTTTACCACTCATTAGTAAGGCAGCTTCTTTGCGTAAGACTCTCTTCATTTTTTTACAGTAATTTTTATTTTTTTTTAATATAATACATATCGGGATTTAGTTATTATTTATATGAAAATGTAATTTTATTTTATTTTTATTATATTTTGGTTGTAAATACGAATGAAATAAGGACGTAAATTGAATTGGGTCCTAAATTAACTAGGGTCTTAAATATGAAAAGTTGTTGGTCGAACCGTTGTTATCGGAGGCTTTACTGTATATCGTAAATTAGAGTATGGTTTAAAAAACTTTGGAAATTTGTAGATTTCGACTTTTAATATAAAATCATCAGATTTAGTAGTGATAAGGATGACATTTTTTACATACCTGTAATTATAAATGAAATTAGCAGGTAGTCTTTGATTACCTAAGGGAGTTGTGACTCTGCCAACTGTTCCTGCCTTGGGGATTGGTGTTAGGAAGGGCTTCCAGTTGTAAAACTTTGCTTCAAAATGCCTGATGGCAAAGCTGCCATTACATAATTGTGGCTACCCCATATAAGTTTGGAAAATGTTGAATGTGATGATGATGATGATAAATGATCCGTTAGTACCATGTAGTCTAAAGTATTGTTCTTATCTTTGTATAATGCAGCAGGATCCCAAACCAGTCCCCAAAACTAGTGCTGCACCCTTCAGAAGCTTGTGTACAAAAAGGTCAATGCTGCGAGAACGACCTTTGTTCAGTTTGTCTTCAGGACAAATTATGCCTTCACCATCCAGTGTGTCAGCACAGTTGGCTCCTCACACATCCATGATTGGCAACAGGTAAAGAGTGCTACTGAAGGTTATATTGTTATAGTTTATTATTTTTGTCATTATTTTCCAGATTCTAGAGACATTATTTCCTAATATACTCAGGTGCTTTCATTATATCATTATGATTTGAAGATTGTTTTAGAGTATGACTCGTGTAAGCATGAAATAATACTACAGTACAGTAATCTCTCGCCAATCACTAGGGCTGGGTTCCTGAAAAACACCATTGTTGGTAAATAGGGGGTTACGGTCTATGGCTGTGGATAACACTCGTCAAAGCCTTACTAAGTTGTCTGTTCCTTCACTAAAAAATACCTGTATTGTACACTCTGACCAAAACTTCTCGAATGCTATACCGGTAAGCACTGTGCAATCTGAAAAATGAACGAAGAAAATGAAACCATTCTGAGATGACAAGCCCCATTCTGCTCATTCTCACGTCCATCATGCCCAGGTGTTTGAGACGTTTTTGTTGAAAGTGTATATTTAATTCAATTTGAGTCAAATACAGTACTGTACAGTGCATATAAAATAGCAAAATAAAAATTAAATAATATATATTTTACAGTACATCTTCCTGGAGATGGCATGTTGCTATAAAAAAGAAAAGAAAAATATGAAGAACATGTGTGTCTATGTGTGTGAAGTGAATATGTGTGTGGACTTGGCATGTCACCAAGTTATACTCGTCCTGTAGTTATATCCCCCCAGCTCTCCCCCTACCAGGCCATGTTGTGTTATTGTTATTTTTTAACTTGTATTTTCAGGTAGATATATGTGATTTTAATCTTTTTTTTTTATATTATTATTATCACATGTACACACAATCGTCCAAACAGAATGTGCAAAAAAAAAAGTGATTATCATATGGTAAGAAATATAAGAGAATAAACATTTCTTATGTCCAAGGGAGTTAGCCCACGATCATTGAGTGTATGATTTTTTTTTTTTTTTCGGAGGGGGGAGGGGGGGGAATTTATTATGTTACAATAATATTTTATTAACCTGGCATCAAATGAACCTAAATAATATGGGAATTATGGTCAAATTACATACTGTTGTTTTAACAGGGTCATGGGACCACAAGGGGAATTTTCCACTCAGTCCAGCCAGCATCCTGCCATTTCTACCTTCTTTCTCACACACAATTAACTATCCACTCCTCATTTTTCTTATTTTATAGTTTTTTATATTTTCTTTATTTCTATGTCATATTAGAGCAGTGTATTACAGTACAGTATTATATTTGAGAAGGGGTTTGGTATACAGAAAATTTGTTTGGAATAGAATGGTACTCTTGGAATCTGAAGAGAAAGTTGGTACAGTATATAGATGTTCAGCATAGAGAGGTAAATAGGTAATATACTGTAATTAGAAGGGAAGTAGGGAGAAATTAATGTTTGTTTGAATGGGGATAGAATGTCCTAAAATATTAAATTAAATCGATGAGTAGAACAATGTTCACACTTGCCTAACAATCTCAAGGTGTTGTCTGGCAAATGGAAAGAATGAAAAGTACAATGCTTGGTAAATGTTGATCAGGTACAGGCACTTCTGGTCCTTGTGAAGCCAGTGACAAGGGAGGTGAACCTGTACTTTGGAAAATATAATTATATAATCCCTGCACTTGTATAATTATGATAATACTACAATATACTTATTTTATTTCAGTGTGCCGGTTGCTTCAGTGATGACGTCTCAGTTACTGCTGCTGTACTATCTTCTGTTGTACGAAGACGTGCGGCTCAATAATACACACCAGCTGCTGGCAAACAGTCGCCGTGTACACTCTTACTCTCCTCACTTGTTTGCTCAGCTCCCTATTAGATATCTACTCTCCCATGCGCAAAAGGAACAAAGATTATATGCAGGTTGGTTTGTAGTCTTAACACTTCTAGTAATGATGGTTGATAAAAATTAGTAAGAGTTATTTATACACCTGACCCTTTTTTAGTAACTCACAAAGTAATACTTTTTTTCAGGTTTATTTTCTCCTTTGGTTAAGTTGTTGGTGAGTCATTACCCACAGCTGTGTCTGGTGGAGGACTGGCTCTACCAAAGTCCCTCTGCTAACTCAAGCCTTGGTATCCTACCTCCAAGAGTGCCGCTGGATCCTCAGTCTGTTAGCCGGGGTTTGTACTTTATTGTTTTGTGATACTCTCCCCTTGTATATACAGTATACAGTATTGTATGAAGGGTTAAACATATTGAAGCTTTAAAAGTAAACACTTTAACATACATTAATTGTATTTCAGAATTATAGTCAGTTACCATAACATAGTTGTAATATGCTCTTAGATGTGGTTAGGTTATGGTATAATATAGCATACCATAACATAGGATAGTATAAAATATTATAGTACAACATAGCATATCATAGTACTGTATAGTATACAGTAGTGTAGTATGATATACAGTACTATAGTATACAGTAGTACAATTTAGTATAATATAGCATAATCTAGTAGAGTACAAGCAGTTCCCGAGTTAGTAACACCCACATTTACGAACAGGATTCCAATATATTCATCACAAAAATCTGTAACTAGAATCCCATTTTTTTACATTACAGTACTTCACTTTCATTATTGTATATTGTTTAACATCACTTTATTTACATAACATTATTTACATTAATATTTTCTATGTATGGATATTGTATTATTATTGTTTTTATATGGGCAGGGTTGTAACTAAGATCCCATTTTTTTTACATTACAGTAAGGTTGCAGGGTACACTTATCCAAGGCACATGACCCCCACTTATCTGACCCCCTGAACCACCCTTACACTTGGGTCTTACTCCTGCACTAGCCAACCCACCCAGCATCTCTCGCTACATCAGCATGTTTATCACTTGTCCCTGCTTGTTTGAGGGGGGATCATTAGAATACTTTAATGTGGCTTAGAAATAAAAAGAAATACAATATGAAACTATAAAATAAGAAAAATGGAGAATATGGGTGTGTATGTGTGGAAAGTGAATTTATGTATTGAGGCAGTGAGCTGTAACTGCGTCGCCACACTCTCCCTCCTCTTATGTAACGTCACAGCACATACACAGTGCAGCAGCGACACACGTCTCTTGAGTCAGGAATAAATAAGATAATATAAAAAAAATATTGCATTACCATTTGGTAATTGTTTCACTGCACATTGAACATAAGAGATAGTGAGCAGCTTAGATCCCCTTGCTGCTCCTCCCTCCCCTCTCTGTGTACTAAGTCTGGTGCATAAAGAAATGTTTATTCCCTTTATGTTTTCACCTTATGATAATTATTTATTTTATTTATTTATTTTGCACATTCTTTATGAAAGATTGTGTGCATGTAACAGTAAGAAAAAAAATCATACCCTGTATGTCTACCCAAAATTATGAGTTGAAAAATAACCATGACTCTGGTATCCTTCTTTCTCTCCCACTGGTTCTATAAACATCTCCCAGGCATTCAGGCTCATAAGTTTTTCTTTACTGATGAATTTTACCACAATCATGGCCCCTAAGAGGAAAATTAGGGGCAGTGTACGTGGTGATGAGAGTGGGAAAAAGAAAAAGTGCATACAGTACTGTGAGAGCTTTGGAAGAAAGCGTTAAGATATTACTAAGGAGTGGCGCAACAAACTGTGGTTGAGAGTCGATTACCTTAGTATAAAAAAGGGTTATAGTTATACATATACTATACTGTATATATTTATAGGTTGACAAGAATATACGCGAATTCACATTTATGCTTGATTCCCAGGAACGTAACCCTCTCACATAAGAATGGAGGAAACTGCAGCGGGCCTATTGACCCATACTGGGCAGTCCCATTTACAGTACTTTACATTGTTTAATATCACTTTATTTACAGTATTTTCATTATTTGTTATGTATGGGATGTTTTTGTTTTTTATGGGCAGGGTCGTGCTTTAACATAACCTAAACTATGGAATTAACTTTTTCAACTTATGAACAGATTGACTTACTAACAGGGTCCAGGAAAGTAACCCATTTGTAACTCGGAGACTGCTTATACTGGATAGCATAGTATAGTGTAGCATATTTAGTGTAAGATAGCATAGTATAGTATAACATAGTATAGTTGGTGTATACATCTCACAAGTGCCACTTTTCCATATAATATGATCTTGTATTTTCATCATGCATACAGTATATCTTAAACACTGCCTCACTTAATTTACGTTACCATGTACAACACTACTTATTTTTACTTAATTTTCATTCTTCATCTTTTAACTCCATTACTTCTCATGTTCATTTCACTTGACCTGATTCTTAACAATACCCCTTGTAAGGTCATTATTGTGCCCTCTTTAGAATACATATAGGGGATGAGAGTGTTATCCCAGTCCACCTGTCTCCTCATTTTTTTTAGATTATATCTCGTTTGTAGATTGAGAAAAAGGCTTTTTGGTTTGAGCTGAAATTTAGTGTGTTACTTCATTTTCCAGATTACCTAGACTTTATAGAATAATGTTCTGGGGTTTTCATTTTTATTTATTAATGCTGTCAATTTAACATAGAAGATTTGTACATCACCATCATAGATAGACTAGTTTTGTATTGCTTGTGTTTGACTCTATTAATACACACAGGTTTTGTTCAGTGGTTTCCTCATCTCATTAGTCAAAGTCAGAGAATGAGATACAGTACATACCAGTTTATATAATTTGTATAGACTGTTAAGTATCTTTTAAATCCTTTTCTCAAAGAAGTGGAAGATATAAGGATCATATCATATGTTTGTGTTTCTGGACATTAATCATTTGAATTTGGGAATGCAGCTGCTGTTAGTGGAAGTGATTTATTCTCTATATTCATTTGGTGTGTAAGCTGTTTATCCTCCTAATTTGTGGGTAATAAAGCTCTTATGAGTAATACAGCATAAGGGAAAAATTGGATGTTCAGTTTTGCATTGGGATTTACTGTCATTCCATTTTTGTGGACTTCGCAGTTTTCTTTGATAACATACTCCGCTTTCCATCATAGGTCAGCTTAATCCCTTCTCACATTATTCTCTGAACAAGCTGGAAAGTGAGGTAGAAATCTTTAATGAAATTGCTTGCAACTGTTTATTCAAGGGGGCTTTATAAATAGTTTACTAGACAGTGAAACTGTTCTTGATGGCAAGTAAAGGAGAGACACTTTGCTAACAAGCAATTTTGAGTGTCACACTTTTTTCTGCAGCAATGGAAGATGCAGCAGACAAGCCCGGTCGACTGTTGGTACTGCTCGACCGCCTAATGAGAATGCCACCTCATCAGCTCTGGCCACTTGCTGCCCCCATCACAGCTTCCATCAAGTGCCTACTACAGCCAGGAGTACCTCGGAAGGTGTTAGGTGAGTGACTCAACTTTTTTTTAAATCCTTTTTCTCATATTCTTCATTGCAGACAGCCTCTGTTATTGCTTAAGTTTGACTATTCTTTTGTATATGTCCTAGGTTTAAGGCAAAGAACCTTGTGCAAAAATTTCAGGTTCAAGAAATGGAAACTGGCCTCTGCTTACCCAATTCTTGCTGAACTTATTGTACTATAATGCTTTTTTGAGAGTATTGTTTTCATGTGTCCTCAGACTATTTTGTGATACTGTCTCTTGTTTTTATTATCTTTTAAGACTGGGTTGATGTGCATCATTGATCATCATATTCACTTTTTGAGGATGGACAGATTTAAATTAAAGAGTGACTGTGTGGGATGTGAGAACATGTACCTCACAAAATGGGCCTGAGAAAATGGCTATTAACATTAGAACACGTTTATGGATAAAAGACATACTGTACAGTAATTATCCATTTATCTAAAGAAATTTTTTGTTATGTACAATATGTCCCAATCCGTTTAACCTGCTACAGCATGTAATGAAATTTGTATAAGCCATCCTTTACATCTGAATCCTGCACCAGCAATTTCTTGCATTTTCCAAATGATTTAACATATTTAGGTGTGTCAGGAAAGTGACCAGTAAGGCCATCACTTTAGATATTAAGTTCAAGGCAGTAAGGTGTATTGAAAAAATGATGGCCATAGTTGAGTTGTGTTGCAAAGTGTTAATTCAGTACATATTAGAGAAGTTACTTTTCAGCTCACACACAGTATCTCCTAATTTATAAAAGTAATTAATGAATAAATATGATTAATTTTTTTTATTATTTGATATTTTGTGTTGTTCAAGAAAACTTAAAAAAATTTCATTTGAAGTAAATCTTGATGTTTAACATTATTTCTGATGTTTCATTAATTTTTTTTTTCCTAAAAAAATTTAAAATCTTCGTTCAAAGTTTTGTGTGATTTAACGCTTTGGAAGCATACAGTATTTTGTTTCCAAGAAATATTACGTAAGAGTGTCAGTTGTCCAGTAAAATATAAAAATGATAAATGGTCCTTGTTTTCCTACTTTTTCATCAAGGCAAAACCAGAAGCTTTTCTTATCTGTCATCAAAATTTCTTAAAATTTCTGACAGCATGGGGAAAAAATTTAAGAAATTTGTGAAATAAATTGATGACGGATTCCTCATTTTGTTCTATAAAAATTAGCAAGAATATAACCTTATATTTATATGAATTTATATAATTTTAGGACCAATAAATCCATAAATATTCTTCAATTTTCAGATACATACAGACAAGTGTGGATGCGCCTGAACTCACTGTTTCCTCGTCGCCTTTGGGCAATGACTGTGGAGGGACTCCTGCCAGAAGAAACTCAAGGCAGGTCACGCAAGATGCTCACTGAAGACGATATAATTCTCGACCCTTTGTATGTACTGAGATGTGCTGATAAAGTTTATAGGTAAGTAACAGATACGAATTGTTTATTACAACATTGTTTTCTTTTATTCTCCATATATACAGGATGATTCAGCAAAGAGTACATTAAATTGGAGGATGAAATCCGTGGATAATTCTAAACCACAATGTCTCTTTGGTAAAATGTCAGATTCTGCATATACCCACTTGTTCGTGGCAGGTGCGAGCAAATTAAATATAGTCCAGGCATTCTGGAACGCGTCAGACAATCAATGGTACAATGTGTACAGGCCTGCATTGAGGCAGAAGGGGGCAACTTTGAACATTTCCTTTAGGTTGTAACAAAGAGGGGTCACACTGTAGAGATCTGTGAATAAATGATTACAAAAACCTTTGGGGATTTCACATCAAATTCACTCTCATTAATACAACATCTTAAATGTATTGTACCATGGAAACTGTGCAGAATCTGACATTTTACCATAGAGACATTGTGGTTTAGAATTATCCATGGATTTCATCCTCCATTTTAATGTACTCTTTGCTGAATCACCCTGTATATATATCAAAATAAACTGAATGTGTATAAGCACATTAATTACACACACACACACTGAAGCCTCGCTAATTCGATATCATTGGGGCACTGACTCAATTGAATTAGCACAAAATATTTAATTATCTCAATGTATTAAAATTACCCCACAAAAGAGAAAAATACCAGAAAATGCAGTTAAAGTTTAGCAATCATTATACTGGACACATCTCCAGCCACCTCATATGTACTGTATATATGTATACATACATGGGTACCTTGTTATTCACACAAGACAGGTTCCAGAAACACCAACAATATAATTTTCAGTCTCCATAAAGCTACCTTTGAATGGTTATCCTGACATATGTGCTAAACCAATCAGAATTTAAAAAGATATTCTTGTGATGTTTACTTTCTATCAACAGATGTGCACCCCTCCTGCAACTGGTGATGTATATGCTACAAGTGTACCTGCTGTCCTCCCGCACCTTCCTCTCACAACAGATGCAAAATACACCTGTAGTGAGCAGTCCCCACAGTCTAGTAGGAGGAAACAACAATAATGCTCCTCAAGCTTTGGAAGAAGAAAGGGAAAAGCTGCGAGGTGCTCTTGTCCTCACTCAGGAGAGCAGCGCTGTGCAGATTCTGCTGGAGGCCTGTTTAATGAAGGACTACGAGAAGGTGGGCAGAATTTCTGTAAGTGGAATTCCTTTTGTTGTCCTCATGGCCTGTCAGACTACAACAAAGGCTTAACAGGATTAAGCTGGAAACATTCATGGTGCAAAATAAGGTGAAACGATAAATCACTTACTGTATTTTACGGAATATAAGACACGGGCATATAAGATGCAGCCCTCATTTCAACAGGGAATATTTAGGAATTTTTTTTTTAGTGTCTTGAGGCATTGAATATTTACTCCTTCTAATATGGAACATCATTCAGTAAGTCTGTAGCTAATAGTATAACTTGATCTTTTCCCTCTTGTGGCAATAGTGTTCTTAAAATGAGGGTAGAATACCATAAACTCAAAGTGTTAGCACCGTCCTTGTTGATATGTTATTACCAAGTGGTTGTTGTTACTCTTTGTACTAAGATGTCCATACTATAGTAAGCACTGCAAAAAACAAAATGGCAACTGTATATTGTACTAGTCTTCGTTGGATGCTGATAGATGGAGTCACGTGCTAGTGAGACTATTAACAAATTGTGATGGCTGTCAGCATTATTCATCGTGATCATCATAATTTCAAGTTTCTTTTAAAAGCTAAAGCATGTTTCCTAATAAAAATACAGTTATATGATAAATGTGGCAGATATGACATTAATAGATAGTAATGCTTATAAGAGTTTAGAAACAGTTACTGATTAGGTCTGAAGAATTGGATGCCGTACAGATGATAATCGTCTCGGGTTATTCATACAACATTTAAAATTTACAATAATCCCCTTTTTAATTAAATGAAAGTAATAATAATATAATAAGAATACAAGTATTATGTTTACGTAAACAATATTATTTTTATTCCGGAGTCGTGCTAGGTAAATATAGCTTACTGGATACAGCATCTGGGGGATTCATTAGCCTGCGGGGAGACCTGCAACTTCACATATTGGACACAGGGTGATTTTTTTAGCCACCATGTTTTTGTTTTTTTTAAATAGTGCATCTTTTATTCCGTAAAAAATGGTATTTGCATATTAATTCACTAAACAAAGCTTTTGTCTATACGGTACAGGGGACCCCCAATTTCGCTGATTTTTAGTTTGCGGTTCTCGGTTATTCGTGGATGACACTCTGGATGTACCTAAGAATGTCTGTGGGTAGTTTTAAAGTTGCAGGCATTTTTGTGGCTGGGACAGGGAGCCATTCATTCTAGAGACAGTAATTTCCTTTACCTGTATTGTAAATATATTTGTGTAGACACACACACACAACACATACAAATAGATAATAATTGGAAAATCCTCTCACAAATAATCAGAAACAAATTTACTAAAAATGTGACAGTCTACCCTCAAGTCCGTTCTCTATTACAGTACTTTATTAATAGAGCACAGACTTAATGGTAGACTCACTTTTAATAAATTTGTTTCTGATTATTTGTGAGAGGATTTTCCAATTATTATTTATTTGTATGTGTTTTGTGTGTGTGTGTGTGTCTACACACACACACACACACACACACATGCATATACAATACTACAGGTAAAAGAAATAATTGTCCCAAGGGCAAACACAAAGGGAATATACATTTTTTTGCGCACAAGTAAAAATGTAAACACCCCCCCCCCTCTCCCCCAATTGGCGATTCGCAGCCATATTGAGAACCTAACCCCTGCGAATTTGGGGGCCCCCTGTACTGCATATCACTAAATTATCTTTTTGTAAGGAATGGTTTAATTGTCTTGGAACCATCTTAAATTAGACCTGAGTACTGTAATAGGCTAGTGTTAGAAAGGTGTTATTAATTGTAATATTTTACTGATGGGAATTAACACAGCCTAGAAGCTCCATTCTATTGTTAGAATCCCAAATTAACTTTTAGCAAGCTTTGTGCATGATTGTTTTATTCTGTTTGGGTCAATTGTTGTGAAAGTTCAATTACAATAAGTAGACTATTTTGTAGTGTACACTTGAGAGATGAAGTGACTGCCTTAGTTATTGGCTTGCCCACAAAGGTATAATTTTTAGCTTACCTCACAAAGTATGAAAGAGATATGATGTGCCTGGAGTGTACTAATGCCTCGTATGTTTAAGTCCGTCATGTTTCAGTAAACCTTTACCCAAGTCATTATACAGTATATTTACACAATGCAGGAAAATTTGATTGGCTTTAAACAACACATATTGTTTATTTGTGTAAAGATATCTTATTATGCATATTTTTAAAGACAGCCATTTATTCAACTCCACTCTAGATCTTTATTTGTTTCTTTGCTGCCATGACAGTTGGTAAGTTCTCACCTCACACTCTTTCTATCTATCTTTGCATTGTAAATTTTTTCCAGATGTGTGACAACCTGATAGGCACAATTTTTATGGATTTTTCTTTACAGGGCAGTTTTTAGTTTAGATGTGTGGTGGGAGTGTCACTGGTCCTTGTGCTTTGTGGTCTGGGCATTCCTAACTACTTGATCTAGAATAACAAGAAACTTTTTCTTTGTGATTAGTTCATCCACTCAAAAATACTATGTAGGGGCTCATGGAATTAGTTTGTCAGTTTGTAGACATGGTCAGGATTACAGTAATTATCTTTCTACTGGAGATGATGTTTTGTCTGTTACAAAAGGCATTTAATTTGAATTTCCAAGCCCTGTACAGTAAACCCTTCCAATGCCAGATTAATTCATGTAAGCTTCATTGGGAGGGTTCCTTTTTACTGTTTCCTCTGTGTATACTGGATATAAAATGATGCATTATGTTATATATTTTACAACATTCTTGACCATCAAACTGCACATCTTATATAGAAATTCACCTTACCTTAATATACCCTATATATATATATATATATATATATATATATATATATATATATATATATATATATATATATATATATATATATATATATATATATATATATATATATATATATATATATATATATATATATATATATATATATATATATATATATATATATATACACACACATATATATACACACATATATATACACATATATATATACAACCCTCGCTTTACGCGATCCCACTTTACGCGTTTCCACGTTTACGCGGTACCCTGCCGAACACGGAATGCTCACTTTCCGCGGTGTGTGTACCCTTTTACGAGGAGAGCGGCGCGAGCAGGAGCGCACAAGGTCGCCCGGTCATCAAAACATTACCGAGTTCTTCACCCGCCACCCACCACAGCCAGCCGAAGTCAGTGATAGTGATAATGATAGTGAGGATATGGACTTATATGGACTTTGAGGGGTTTGACAAAGAGGCCCTGCAAGCCTCTGTGGTGGATAGTGATACAATTGAAACAAGTGATACAGGTGAGGGCCAATAATCTGCCCTCTGCCTCGGAACCAACCCCCCATCCCCGTGTGCCCAGCCATCTTTTCTACTAATGTAAGTGTTAAAAAACCTAATATTATTGATATTTCTCTTAATTATTGATTGTGTGTGCATACCATCATAAAATTAAGAAGTTATTTTTACTACAACGTAGGTAGTGTGTCTGAAAAAGTGGAGTTTGGGGGTCGGTCCGGTCTCTATTTCAATTAATCCCATATGTTATGTTGTTCACTTTACGCGTTTCTCACTTTACGCCATTTATTGGCATTTGTACATCACCATCAACTGAAAAACTGTCCATTCAGCTGAAAAATACCTGTATACTTCCTTCACAACCTTTTATTTCTATATATGGAATAAGTGTTCTCTATATCAGCTATATCTATATACGTACTGTATTTCATTATTTTGTTTCCTTATGCCAGTTATGTACTTACAGTACAGTATATCTTTTCTTTTTCACTCTTGGCAACAAGTGCAGCAGAAAGTCTTCTCTCATTTGCTGTTATTCTTTCTGTGTTGTGTTGTGCCATATCATGCTGTGATGTGCCCCATTCATAGTACAACACCCCATTAGATCTGTTTCTTTTAGCTCTACTATTTCACACAACATTACACTTTACTTTAGTAGTGCATTTATCTAACTTTTCTTTTTAATATAGGAAAGCTAAATTAAGTAGAACTGGAGATATTTCTTTTTGGTTTTAATTATCAGTAAGTTCAGTCAGTAAAAATAAAAGACTAGACAGTTATGTTATATCCTTGCTCCACAGCTTCACATGGATAAGGAGATGGCTTCAAGTTGCTTCTAAGAGATCTTTTGGGAAAGTTTTGTTCGTTGATTGATTGTACAGGTATTGGGTAAATGTGAGGCATGTAGTGAGTAAATTAGTTGTAGCATTGTTGGGTAACATTAAGTGTACAACTTTATTATCCTAATTTAAAATTATTATTTTTATCTGTTCTGTACAGCACAGGGGTAATGGCAATTTTTTTCCAGTAACCAGTAAGGTGGCCATAATCAAGACCCAAAACAAAATTGTACCTAATTTGAAATTTTCATTGATATTACAGGATGGTGCTGGAGCTCTGGCTCTTCAGGAGATAAGAAGTATTGTGTGTTCATACATCCATCAAGCATTCCTCAAGGATACAACTTTAGCCAAGTTGGTCCACTTTCAGGTATGTTTGCAGATGTACTGTACATAATACATCTAATTCCACCTCTGGTGGAAAGTGGAAAATAGTTTCCTGCTGTCTGTGTAAGAAAGGTGTTGACAGCAACTCAATAATACAGTATACTCTTGATTTAACGGAATCCGATATAACGAACTCTCGATTTAGCGGAAGGAATTTTTTCCATTATTTTTCACTCGATTTATTGAACTAGTTCGCTAAATCGAGATTCATTCTGTTAATACACACTCTTTTGACTTTCTTCCCCACACCGCTTCCTTTCCTAGACTTCTGAGAGACTTTCGGCATGATGTCTATGGCAGTAGTTAGTTGACAGAGAGGTAGCAGTGAACAACACACGTGTTGGCGGCAGGACACAGACTGAGCAGATGTAAACAAACACCAAGAGGCAGAATTTAACGGAATCACGCTCAATTTCGTGAACTAGTTCGCTAAATCGAACGAAAATAATGGAAATTCGATTTAGCATAAATTTTGATATGACGGAAAGGGGTGGCTCGAATTACTGTAGTTCGTTAAATCGAGAAATTACTGTATATACAGTTAGTGTGGAAGGTGGGTACACAAAAGGTGTAGTGATGTAAATGGCAGACTGCAGGATGTTACTGACTTTAGGTGTTCTATATGTACAGGGCTTTAGAGGTTCAAAGAAATGTTTATATCTGCTTTGTTGATTTGGAAAAAGCTTTGATAAAGTAAAGCACAATAAACTTATAGAGATCTTGGGAAAATAGGCATTAATGAAGGAGATATTAGACTTTTAAAGAATCTTTACTGGCTACAGGAGGCTGCAGTGTTAGTAAATAATGAACTTACTAATTGGTTCAAAATTAGACAGGGAGTAAGACATGGCTGTGTTCTATCTCCAGTATTGTTTGATATATACAATATTCAGAATTCTTAATGAGAAAAGTTATAAGTGATAATGAAGGACTAAAAGTTAATGATAAAGTACAGGCATCCTCTGAGGTACGGAAGGGTTCCGTTCCAGAAATCTTTTTCTGTATCATGGAATTCCATAACTCAGGACCATTTTTCCCATTGACTCACATTATGTAAGTTGAGATATGTTCCCAAGGAAAAAATTTTCTTTCAAAAAACATAATACAAGCACATATATGAATGAAAATAAACAGTTTTAAACACACATACAATGATTCATTCATGATATATCATAGCAATAAATAAACACACCTGAATTTAACTCACCAGAAATGATGTTGAGTGCTGCATGAGGTGGTGAAGTGAGGTGAGGCAATTGGAGTTACCTCTTTAAAACATGTTTAATATCCAATGTAATTTCTTTATGGAATCTTTTAGCACTACTGCTTTCACTTGAATTTGATGGCCTTTTTCCACTCATCTTGAATAAGGGTACCGGTGTACACAGTAACACTGATGCAAAACTGAGCACAAGCTGGAGAACAAATTCAAACTAAGCAGAGCCATTGTTGTTGTGCTGGCTGCTTGGTAGGTGCTGTCTTGTAGCAACCACCAAGAATCCACATGAAATAAATTTTATAATTTTAGTGAAATTTTTTGTTGTATATCGCAATTTTTTTATTTTTTTATTTTTTTTATTTAATAAATTAACCCAAATTCCAGAAGGGCGAATACAGTCCTGAACACAGACTCATAACTGAACACAAAATGGGGAAGAATATTAACTGAACAGTACTATTGTTGTTGTGCTGAGGAGGTGAGCCGCCCTCTAACCGTCTTGCAGCAACCACCCAGAATCCACACAAAATAAATTTTAAAATTTTCGTGACTTTCTTTGTTATCTATCGCGATTTTTTTGTTTGAAAAATGAACAAATTCACCAAAATTCCGTAAGGGACAACTTTTTTGCCGTATCCCAAATTTTTGGGTCATAATTTCAAAATTCCTTAAGTCTTTCTTCACCCAAACTGTACATTTATACTACAGTGGTCCCTCGGTTAATGAACACAATTCGTTCCAGAAGGTCATTCGTTAACCGAAAATTTTGTCAACCGAATCCATTGTTTCAATGGGATATTGGGTAATTGGTTCCAGCTCACTGAAAAGTACATACAAAGTAAAAAAAAAAATGCAGTAAAGTACACTTACTTTGAGGTGTGTATGTAGAAGGCTCCTGGTTGATGATGATGGGAATTAGAAGTGGGGATGGAGGAGAAGGGAGAAGAGAAGGAAGTGGGGATAGAGGAGAAATCATCTTTCAGGGAAACATGCTTGATGCAGTCATTTCACCAATAAAATACTAAGTTCACTAGGTGTAATTCAAGATTATTTTCTTTAAATCAACACTGCACTGCGCTATATATTATCAATATGTTAACTAAAGTTCAGAATGACCAATAATTTCATTGAAAAATGCAAAAATATTCAAGACACCAACAAAATAGATGCTCTCTCCCTGGTTTCAAAACTCAACTGACGCCTTGTGACGGACTCACGCATCTGATGGACTCACAACAAACTAGTTCCCTGTACTGCATATATTATCAATACGTTAAATAAATGTTAAAATGACTAATAATTTTAATATAAAACATGCAAAAATATTAAAGAGCACAACTTTATTGATATTTACTCCATTGGAAATGAATGCAAACATAGAACAGGTTACTGAATTGACAGAGTACCCCATCAGCTGATGCTCACAACAAAATGTGATTTCATTAATCAAATTTTTGTTCGTTAGCCGAATTGAAGATTCTTATGGAAGGTAATTCGTTAATCGAACCGTTTGTTAACCGAGGGACCACTGTGCTGTTATTATTACTGGCAGATTAATGTACTAAATTTTATTATGGCTCCAGTAGCTGTGTTTATGAAATTTACACAATACTGTACAGTACTTTTAATCCATGTTAATAGTTAACAACCTGTCAGGTGCACCTTATGGTATAATCCTTTATACATATAAGATTTTTTTAAGGTATATTCATCAAACATGCTTAAAGTCTGTACATTAAACATAATTCTTAATTTGCATTTGCGACATTAATAATCATGTTTATCTTTTTATTATGACTTAGGGTTACCCCGGAGAGTTACTCGGTCCAGTGGTACGAGGAGTCCCATCTATGCATATCGCAATTGGTCTTAACTGGATCCCAGAACTTCTCCAGCTGCCAGACTTGGACAAACAGTTGTTTGCTGTTGAGTTAACTTCTCATTTGGCTCTCCAGAATGCCATGCCATCTACACTCAGCATATCACGACTAGGAATTAACACCATGGCTACACTTCTCTCAGGCAAGTGTTGGATAGGATTTTATTCATGATTTGGAAACTTGAGTATATGTTTATGTTGATCCTTCTGGGTAAGGGATAAGAAAATTTTTATTTATTGTACCTGGTGTTGTATAACTGAAAATGGCATTCACCTCTAACTATTAAAAATGTCTGCTTATTCTCTCTCTTTTTTTTTCTCATGCCTGTGGGGACACACTTGTAATGAACACTGATGATTGGTTGTTGTGTTTAATGTGTCATGACCACCTACCATTTCTTCATTTGTTATGAGTCTCACTGTTAGCCTTTCAGTGCTTAGAATACTGTACAAGAATAAGTTCAGGGACCACAAAATAAGGGAAAACTTTGTGTTTTATATTACTGTGACTGGATGAAGAAAAGCGTTAAGTGATGATATGATATTGTAGGCTTTCTTAGAAATATATAGTGTATAGTGTATATGAGGCTGTGCGGACCATAATTTTGTAAACGCAAAAACAAAAACAAAAAATGGTTAAACTTTGGAGAATGGAACTCACTACCGTGCAGCATATCTCTTGAACTATTGTAATTGAGATAGCACAATCATTCTTGTTGTAACAAATTGCAGCTTACATGCATAAGATTATGTTGCAATAGTCATGTAATGACAATTTTGTTGTAATTATTAGTAATCATGAAAATGATCATAACCTTGACAATTTAGAGGCATTAGATTTAGATGAAACTTGAATATTTTGATATAGGATACTCATGTACATTATAAATAATCATGATCAGTTTTGAAAAGGTCCAAGAGTTTATAGTGATCACCATAATTATCACCTTAACTGTGCTTTCTGGCAAAAAATTTATGTAGTTGTTGTAAATAAAGATATGGTAATACTGTACAAACAAAGATTATTGCATGCAAAGTAATGTACACGCACACAAGATCACATTCAGGTGTAACATACAGTATGCATTTTCTCCACATGCCCAAACCTCAGCCCACCTTTATGCAATACCTTGCCAATACTCTTCATATCCAACTACCCTTTTAGTTGTGAACAGGGTTTCCTATCTCTCAATATCAGATTACACATCCATCTCACCACTCGCCATTCTCATATCAGTTCACTCAAGCCTATGTACTGTATGTCATCCTCATTAACTGTCCATGTTTCATTGCCATACAACTCGCCTTCCAAGCAAAGGGAAGGTCCTCTCATTGTCAGTAAAGGCATCAGTTCCCTAAAGTTCTTCCAGTCACTTTGACTCTTACAACTGAATTAGCTTCAGCACCCCCTCCAGCATCGATCATATCACCCAGGTAGCAGAACTTGTTGATACAACCCAGGGTTATACTGTCTGCCCAATATTGAGCATTTCCTGCCTTGCTAAGGTCACATGGTTACCTGTACATACAGGACACTTAAAGTCAGCAACATCCTGCATCTTCACCATCTACTTCACTGCACTTCTTGGCTGCCCACTTTCCACACATTCACTTCACATTATGTGTCCATTTTCCACTTTCCACCACAGGTCCCTCATCCACACCATGAATCTTTTCTTTATCTTTTCCCACATTCACTCTCATACTCTTTTACTCCATTCTATCCTTCCATTTCTTAAATTTCACCACAACCTCTTCCAAACTATCTCCTATCAATACTAAGTCATCAGCATATAACAACTCCCAGAGTAAACCAGTCCCAATTTTTCAAAATACAGAGTAGTCCTTATAACACCTTGATAAACAGAAGGGGTCTTAAGACAGACCCTTGATGTATCTCTACTGTCACCCGAGATTCCTCACTTTCCTCACCATTTACTCTCACAGAGTTTCTTGAGCTCTCATACAGTGTCATAACTGCTCAAGCAAGACACTCTTCTGCACTACCTGTCAAATGTTTTTTCCAAGTCTACAAACACAAAATACAGCTTTCTCTCCTTCCCTAGATATTTCTCCTGTAGTTGCCTGGCCATAAATATTGCCTCTGTATTTCCCCTGCCTGGCATGAACCCAGGTTACATTTCATTTATGTTCACTCTCTCCCTTATCAATTTCCCAGTCACTCTTTCCACAACTTTTTAAACCTGGTTTAACAGTTTCCCTTGTAAGTATTCACAGTCATGCTTTCAGCCCATCAGCTGGAGCAGTACATTCCCTCCTAATTTCATTAATCAGCTCAGTGACCATCGTCAAGCCAGCATCGTCTGAAGCTTTCAACATTCTGGCAACTATTACAGAGTTACCAGCTGCCTTTCCATTCTTCATTTTGTATTTTTCTCTCTTTCACTCATTCTTTTTAAACCCTTGGGTATGGTCCCTGTTCTGGCTCAGCTGCTCCTAAGCTGCCCTCATTTCAGTCAAACTCCTGATTCAGCTGAGGATTGTAGTATTTTCTCTAAGCACCTTAAATTCCTCATTATCAATAACTACAGTATTCCTGTAAGTAATTTGGTATGTCTTATTTCATACAGTTCTTGGTGAAGAAGAGAGAATTATGATCATGGAAGCATCACTTCCATCATTGGTGGGTATTGGCAGAGCATTTCCGGCACTTACAGATGATCTCGTGCACTTACTGGTCATGTATGGCCGGGTATCTACTGCTCAGTCTGCTCTCTCGGCAGCACCAGCTCCCAAATCTATTGGTAAGTGACTTTAGAAGTGATTTTGTCTTAACTTATTTTATTTCATTCAAATTTTTTATTTATTTATTTATTTTATTATTATTTTATTTATATATTTATTATTATTATTATTATTATTATTATTATTATTATTATTATTTATTTATTATTTTTGTTTTTGTGGTGACTAATATACATTGGTCCCTCGATTAACTAACACAATTCGTTCCACAGAGTTGTTCTTTAACCGAATCTATTATTTCAATGGGTAATTGGTTCCAACTCACAGGAAAAGTACATACAAAGTACTGTACTGTATACCTGTATACTGGTAATAGAATGAACAAAACATTAAATGTAAACTAAATACAGTACTGTACTGTACAGTATACTGTACTGTATAATAATAAATAAAAAACAATAGAATACTATATTTTAACTTACTTTGAGGTGTGTATGTCGTATTCCTGGCAGCTTTGCTTACATATCAAACAGCTGATTGTAGAGGTAGGCGATGATGACATGCCATATTCTTTACAGAGTGCGTTGGTTCTAATGCCTTCTTCATGTTTCATAATAATTTCTGCGCTGTATATTATCAATATGTGAACTAAATTTCAGAATGACCAATAATTTTAATGTAAAAATGCAAAAATATTCAAGAGACCAACAAACTGGATGTTTGCTCCACTGTAAACAAAGTTACCGTAAGCTGAGAAGGATTGGTGGGTGATTCGATCAGCTGATTGACACACAAAAACTGTTCCCTGTACTGTATATATTATCAGTGTGTTAACTAAATTAGAATAACCAATAATTTTAATATAAAAAAAATGCAACAATATTCAAGAGCACAACTTTCTTGATATTTACTCCACTGGAAACGAATGTAAACATAGAACCAATTACTGTTTTGGCGGACTAGCCGATCAGCTGATGCGCACAGCAAAGCGTGTTTCTCATAAGGCTTTCGTTAATCGAAGTTTTGTTCGTTAATGGAACTGAAAATCCTTATGGGAGCTAATTCGTTAACCGAGATTTCGTTAATTGAACCGTTCGTTAATCGAGTGACCACTGTATACAATAATTGTAATCATGTCCGGTGGAGAGATACCCTGGTCTTGGTGGAAATTATCCGTTATACTTTTATATTAAATTGTCCAGAAATTTATATATGTGTAGTCTCCTGGTGCAGCCACAAAAAAGGAAAAGACAATTCCAAATATCCCACGTTTTTTATACAGACTTGAGACACAAAATCTACCTCATGCTGTAAACAAACTAATCTGTGGTTCACTTCATGAGACATTTGTTGTGTTCATGTTGACAACTATTAGAATATTAGGTATGAAGCCAAAGTGTTTATCCTCAGGGGAGAGGACAATTATTTACTCTCTTTTTAATGCATATACATTTGCTTCAATTTTCAGCATTTTTAGACACACTTGATGAGGAGACAAAAGATTCAGCAGAGCACAAGATGGATTATGAAGAGACTCTGCCTCCAGGTAGTCTCTCACCCCAGACTCTCCGCAAGCACCTGGTTCGCAAGGTTCCTCGTGAAGACAGTCTTTATGCCCGGATAATAGCGGCCTTTAGGAAGATCGTAGCAGAGAGCTCGATGACCCATAATTTATATTAAAATTGAAGTTTGTTTTTATTATACTGTAGTTATATTTGATGTACAAAACAATACATAACATAATTTTATATTAGTTGGTCTAGGAAAACTTGAGAGTTTTGTTATATGCTTAATGTAAAGAAAGGCTTTTGTTTTTAATGACCATGTATTTGTATGTGAAATATAAAGTGTAGGAAAGAAATGTTTGTTATTTACTAGGCTGATATTTCTTGTGATTCTCAGGTAACTGTACACTTTGTGAAAGTGGGTCCCATGTCAGAGGGCCTGTGTGGGCCAATGTGGACAATAAGCTAATTAATAAGCATTTGGTACATAATCATCATCATCATTTTACGGCTATTTTTCATGCTTTTGTTGGTTAACCCTTAAGCCCCGGGTTAGGGTGCTACTGGCAGTACCCCTCACGGGGTTAAATTGTGAAAAAAAATCAACTTTTCCAAAAAAAAAATAATAAAACAACAACAAAAAAATGGTGGGAAAACAGGCAGACATTCTGGAACATCACCTGGGGCCTAAGGGTTAAGCATGCTTACCTAATGACAGCTCTCCATGGTATCTTGCCACCTCTCTCATTAGGTTTATGACTGTAATGTCATAACTCACACCCTCTCCTCATGTCATTCTTGACCTTTCCCTGGCTCTCCTCCCTTCCATATTCAAACTCATGCATCTCCTAACCCAGATGGTCTCCTCCATTCTCTTCACTTCCTAAAACCGTCTCAGCCTGCTCTTACACAAAGCTTTGCTGACTCTCCCAATACCCAACCATCATCTTTTCTCTGAATATAAGGTTTCATCTTTTCTCTGAATATAAGGTTTCCTATCTTTCAGTGTCACATTGCACATTCACCTTAGCATTCTTATTTTAGCTCACTCAAGGCTGTGTGTCATCCTCTTTAACCTCCCATGTTTCACTGCCATACAACATCACACTTCTCTTGCTGGCTGCATACTCTTGCAACTGAGTTAACTTCAGCACCACCTTCAGTACTGATCATGTCACCTACAGATAGATAGTAGAACTCAGTGACAGGCCAGGAATATATCCCCAAGGTTGGGTTTTCCAACCTTGCTAAGATCACAAGCAGGCAGCCAACACTGCACTGAACTGTCTTCACTATCCCCATCTGTAAATTTAGGTACCCATTCACAACTGGATGGACCTGAGGGTACTCTGAGCATGAACCAGCAACCTTTAAGACAGGAGGTGAGCTATGTATCCATTTGTCTGCCACACTCACAACACAATTTAGGTAATACTGTAGGACACTGACCTCTAAGAACCAGCAACTTTACCCCCCAAAAATTTTATTTCGAAGAAAACTTGTTTCTCACCTTCAGAATATCCAAGACCGGATGGAGGAAGTCCAACTTTTTTAAATTTTGTTTTGATGATTTTTTATTTTTTTCACCCCTTCTTGAGGAAATGCATTCCATCGCCCAAGGTTGTCATGCTTCAATACAATTTATTTTTGTTCAATCCAGAATGCGACATCTAGCTTTATACCTAGGTATGTTAATGCCTAGCAATAACTCGCCAGGCCAACATACAGGCAATTATAACATCTAATAATTACTTAATACGTAATATTAGGAGGACACGTCGCAACCTGGCATTTAATTGCAATTCTCAAAACTCCCTCCCGCACCCTCTATCACACTCATTGCTACCGTCATCTTCTTGCCTGGCAAATCAGCTGTAAATACACACAAAGAAGGCTCTGCTAATTTGTGTTATAATAACTGAAATACTAAGTGCCACGAGGATTTTATATTTGGTATTTATACATCTTAGCACGGTGAGGACACCGAGTGACTTTTATTTTGTTTATGTCTCTCAGATATTGTGTTTGGGACAATTTTTTATACGGTCTGGTCAAGCATGGCAACCACGGTCTTACTAGCAATCTAGGGTTATGTTGGGATGGACCTTGTATCCTTAGTATGGGTTATATGAGAACCATTCAGGGTGGAATTCTCAACCCACTACATCTTGCTAGAGTAATGGTGAACGATGTTGGCCAATGGAGCGCTATGGTAGCAGCTCAGCAGTGGCGTTTCTAGCCCTCGGAAAGTGGGGGGGGGGGGCCACTTTGGGGCCAAGGTAAAAGTTGGGGGGGCAATACCAAACCTGTGTACAACGTGCAAGATGCAGTTTTTGGCATTATTACACCAATTTGATTGACAAATGTGAAGTGACGTCTCTCATGACGCCAGCCTAAAATAATCAGCATATGGCGGTATAATGGCAACGCTCTTATTCCACTAATCATGATTCATTGGAGTATTGACACTTGAACATAGTCACATAAAGGGCGGGTGTACCGCATAACAAACATTGAAAAATATAGCAGTGTCTTTACAATGTATGTACATACATCAGCGGAAAAATGAATGATCTCACGCTTCACACATAATGGAGATTATGGAGACAACGTTTATGTTTTCAGACATGGGCGCCGCATGCAACTGATACATTATACCCAATGGCAAATGGCAATGGTGCGGTTTCAGTTCACACGGTACTGCGACGGTAGCAGTATATTCAGTGCAGCTTAATCCTACGATTATTATGTCGGCTGCCAAACTCGTCGACAAAACAATCTAAATGAATTCCCTCAGCGCGTGCACTTTCATTCGATAGTCGCGCGATGTTACTCAGTCTGTCACTGGACATGGAATTTCTTAGGAATGTTATCACTAATTTCATTTTCGAAAAGCCTCTCTCGCATGAAGCACTGGTAACAGGGAGAGTTACAGCTATCAACAGTAATTTATACAAACAGTCAAATGCAGCCTTATAAGGGCATATAAATGACATAAATTGCACGAGCGATGAAGGTTTTTGTTCCTTCACGAGCAATTTCTTCACCAGAGGCATCTCATGTGGTAAATCACTTTGATTGACTGAGTATGTAACTGCAATGCCTTCAAATCTTCTTCAGACAAGAATGTCTGTCCTGGACAAAGAGCTGAAATCCCACAGAAAATTGCACAGGAATCATTGTAGAAACGCCTGTCTAATTCACTAATCAAACAGTCTAGGACTTCATAGAAGATGCCAATGTGCACATGACTCACGTCAGATCTTTGCCCGGTCGTTTCCAGCACAATGAATTCATCATTCTGTCGAGGTTTTCTGGTTCGCTTTCGTGTCTTTGTTGGTGAAATGCTGCATTTCTCAAAGAGCTCATCAATCTTCTCGGAGTAATGCTCAATCAAGTTACAGTGGCGTTTATCAGCTAGGTCTTCACGGAGCGACGAAATGAGCATTGCTGCTTTTCCTAAGTCTGCTTGCTTGTCAGTCTGTCACCCTCCTCAGTGGAAATACAGAGTGGTAATGTTCATCACCGACAAGGCAGTTTGTTTATATACACCGTGATGTGACCCCACCCCGCATATCTGCACCCTCCGAATTCTGCCCTCCGGGCCTCACCTCACCTCGCTTCAGTGATCTCACCTCACCTCACCCATGCCTGCATCTGGCTTGCGGTGCGCCCATTGCCTGAGTCACTTGACTCACTTCCTGATTTTGGGAATGTTTTTGGAATTAAAATTTTGAGAATAAAAAGTGGGTGGGCCAGCCCAAAATCTGGGGGGGCCATGGCCCCCCTGGCCCCCCCGTAGAATCGCCCCTGCAGCTCAGCACTGTCAACCCTTCCGAGTGATTTGATGCTCACTCGGGCATTATCGCTCAAGCTAATTAATTGAAGCGATGATGTCTGTGCACCCTGATTGGCAACAAATAGAGAACTTGGTGATCCCTCAAAATATAAATGCTCTAAATGAAGTTAGTTTGATGAAGAAACAAAGTTCATTGAGCTGAGGGATAATTGAGATAAGAGAAGGGAGAGGTGTATGATATAGTGAGTTAGTTGTTTATGATTGTCACACTGGTGACTCATATAACAATAAGAGACATTAAATGAAATAACTTACTAAAATATCACAGTTACGAGTCATACTGATTATGTTTTGGAAAAATGTTATCTTCCTTGTCTTATTATGATGATACAATGTGACTCATAGTGTTGTTCCTAGTTTAGATGAGTGATGTGCAACTGGAGGATGAAGGACAGTTGTCTGGACTGCTAGATGATGGAGGAGACCATGGAACTGTCCCTGGGGAACTAGTGTTGAGTGAGGAGCTACAAGGACTGGAAAGTTCAGCTCATACACTACATACAAGGAAGTGTCCGTCAGTAGAAGATGTGAATTCAGTAGTACACTGTAGTAGTTTCACCCAGGACCCAAGTGGACCATATGACATGTTATTATCAAGGATGTAGAGCCACTTGGATTACCAAGTTAGATCCTCATTTGGCTTGCATAATTCATAGCAGCTGTGTCTCGGACAACCTGTTTTCACCATTGAATTGTGCAGTTTGTTATGATCAAATTTTTTAAATTAATCAAGCTGCAGGAGATAAGAAAGAATTATTGCAGATCCAAATAAAAATAGATGGAACAAGGCCTTGTAGAATAAATTTCTAAATGTAAATCACTGGAAAGATCCTAAGTTGGCAGAAAGTTTAGAATTATGGGTGATAGGTAACAGATTTAATCCCCAATTAGACCAACCTGCTTCTGCTAAGAAAAGTAGGTTATTGGATATTCTAGATAATGAGGCAGTAAGAAGATTACAAGAACCTCTACCTAGTCAGTCTGATTTTAGTGGATTCTGGGATCAGGGTGATTAACAAAGACATTTAATTCTAAACAATGTCCCTTGATGTGACTTACTCTCCATATTAGCTCAAACACATCTTGAAGAACTCAAGTTAATAAATCAGACAAAATTGACATGTTAGAATAATTAGACAGAGCATCAGTGAGATGCTGTCACAGCTGGGCTTATCACCACCTTACTCATACAACCCATGGACCAGGGCATCATTCTGGCCTGCAAACACCACTACAGGTGCCTCCTCCTGATTGGTATTCTGTTGGTGTAACCAGTGCCAGATGGGGAGGAAGACACCTTGGGGGCCAGAACACTGAAGAACATCAAGGATTACAACATCTGGGATGCAGTGTTCAGCCTCAGGGCAGCCTGGGACAAGATCACAGGGATGACACTGAGGAATGTGTGTAAGTTCTTAAGTGGTGATGATGCTGCAGAAGCTGTGTTACTGGAGGAGGATGCAGACTTTGAGGGCTTTGAAGTGGAAGAGGCCCACA